AGTCCCACCAACAGTGCACCAGGGTTCCCTTTTCTCCACAGCCTCACCAGCACTTGTTGTTTGTTGATTTATTGATGATAGCCATTCTGACCAGAGTGAAATGGTATCTCATTGTGGTTTTTATTTGCATTTCCCTAATGATTAGTGAGGTTGATCATTTTTTCATATGCCTGTTGGCCATCTGTATGTCCTTTTTAGAGAAATGCCTCTTCATATCCTATGGAAACAAGTTTTTTTTTTTTTAAAAAAAACGTGTTGCACGTGGTCCTTGGGGCCACACTTTGAGAAACACTCCTAATCTTCTGTGTCTACATCTCTCATTAGACTGTTGTCATCTTGAGGTTAGGGCCAGTGACCTAGTCATCTTTGTACTCCCAGCAACTAGCCCAGGTCCTGGCACATCACAGGGGCTTGGCAGATGTTTACTAAATGAAACCACATCACAGAACAAAAGACTATCTTGATAGATCAGTCAGGAAAACAGAAATGACACTAGGTATTTCAACAGAGAAAATTTAAGGAATTAGCTAAACAGGTGTTAGAGGACAGAAAAGTGAGCAGGAAACACTGAGGTGACACAGAGGTAAATGCTTCTCATCCCTAGGGCTGGAGAGACACAGAGAAGGGGTTAGGCTTGTCATAGTACCGACACTTGTGTTTCAGTACACTTAATTGAATGTACTAGTATACTTTTATGGCTCAAGAATCTTAGACATGTTCTGTCACAACATAGGAATTGTGTATTTGATACCCAAGTCTTTCTTTAAATTAAAAAGAACCCAAGCGGGGCTGGGGGAAATGTGGCTATAAAGGGCTGAAACAAGGGAGCTCGATTCTAGTGGAGGTTGCACATATCTACATATGTGATGAATTTGCATAGAGCCTCACACAAATGCAGACACACACACACGCGCGCACACACACAAATACATATAGATCTGGTGAAATCTGAATAAGCTCCAAGGATTGTACCGAAGTCTATTTCCCAGTTTTGATAATGTACTCTAGTTACACAAGACGTTACCATTGAGAAAATGGGGTGAAGGGTACATGGACCCTCTCTGTACATTTCTTTTGCAACATCCTGTGAATCTATAATTATTTCAAATAAAAAAAATTTAAAAAGTAACATAAGTGTCTTTATTGCTTGTAGAAAGGACCTGTAGATGAAACTGGCTGGGTCATTAAAAATGTCTTGTCCCTGCCTATTGTCAACAAGAAAGAAGATATTGTGGGAGTAGCTACGTTTTACAACAGGAAGGATGGAAAACCTTTTGATGAGTATGATGAACACATTACTGAGGTAAGTGCAATTATAAAATAATGGCGGTAAATGAAATTCATGAAATAACAACAGAAAATGCATAGTGATTTGTTTTTCTGCAATAATATTTCTGAAGGGCAATTCAGACATGAGTCACACATGGTTGCAGTCAATAGGTTGTTGCTGTGTCATTTCTGTTTTCTGACTTCTATAAACTGCAATATTTTCTACCAAAGTATGAACTTTTGGTTTAATTGAAATTCTCTACAATACTAGGAAATTGGGAAAGAAGGTTTGTATCTCCTCTCTCCCTACCCCACTTGTATTCTCTCTATTCTCGCTCTCACCCCAGCCCTCTCTCTGATTTTCAGGTCATGTTTATTATATTGGATTCTTGTAATTTCTCTCTTCTATTATAATTATGTATTCAGGGTGCATGGTACACTTTGAAAATCAAGGGCTCAGCCTATTTTATTGTCTGGGGCATTATAAGTATGTTTTTTCTTATATTAAAACAAGGAACTGGGTTGTCAGTGGTGGAAGAGAGATCGATTGATAGGAACGCATGCAGACTGCTGCCTCCAAATCAATTTTCCTTTGATTTTAGAGAATTGAATCACATTTTATCCATTTCAGACTCTCACGCAATTTCTTGGATGGTCTCTTTTAAATACTGACACCTATGAGAAAATGAATAAGCTAGGAAACAGAAAGGACATAGCTCAGGAAATGCTCATGAACCAGACCAAAGCTACTACTGATGAAATCAAGTCTATTTTGGTAAGTGGAGAACTCAGGCCTGTGGGCATCGGGTGGTATCTAACCAGGGCTCTGGAATTCACCTAATTTCCCAGAGGTCGACAAGTGAGAATAGGTTTAGTCCTGAGCTAACGAGGGCAAGAACAGAAGAAAGTGTTCGGGGAAGTCCTGGGTGGCCCTGTGTACACGGACCCTGCTTGACTTCCAGGCTGCTTGGCGGGAATAGCCCTTTGTAAGAAACAGCTTCTGGGTCTGTAGGAGCTGGAGTAGTGATGTCTAGATTCAAGTGTGTTAGCAAGGGAAAAAAAAGTATTTCCAGGAAGGGAAATGTATCATTCAGCTATTGCCATATAATGCTACATAGCAACTATTACATCTCAGTGGGATACAACAATAAGCATCTATTTCTCACTCATGCATTTGTGGGTTGAACTTGGTTGGGCTTGGCTTCAAGCTGTGAGTTTGGTTTTCTCTATGTGTCTCTCTCATTTTTCTTGATCAGCAGCTACCTGATAGATGTTCTTTTCATGATAATGACAAAAGTGCAACAGAGCAAGCCTCCTGTGCAAGCACATTTCAAGTCTTTACTCATATCACATTCACTGAAATTCTCATTGGCCAAACATGACCAAAGCCAACATCATGGATGATGGGGGAGCAAGTAGATAGTTGCTAACAGTATTCTAATTACCACCAATTGAAGGGAAAATAACACACACACACACTATTTCTATTCTTTTTATTTACCTAGCTTTTAGAGTGTGTGCATAAGTATAGTTTTGCTGGGGTGTTTTTTTGGTTTGAGTTTTGCTGTGTGATTTGAGAGTTAAGAAAATATGACTCAAGAGTTTGAGATTTGAAGATGGGGAGAATAAAGGGAAATTGCTATATACTAATAAAAAAGCAGATGTAAGCCACTCATTTTTCTCTTTCTTTCTTACCTACATACAAACAACCCATCTCTCTCTCTCTCTCTCTCTCTCTCTCTCTCTCTCTCTCTCTCTCTCTCTCCAGCTACAGTTACATTGTTACATTTTGGGGGGAATAGAAAAATCAATCACATTCAATTATTTCTTGGAGGAAACTCTCCATACTCAGGTGCTGTAGGTTTTCTTTGTAGCCAGAATGCATCTTCATTATGGAACTCATTAGAGCATACTTTAAATGTGTTTTAAGTGATTTTAAAAGCAGAGGAATCAGATAGAAATCTTCTCCTTTATAGAAATTTCACCTCTATCATTTTTACATTTTAGAGATTTAAAGAAAAGTTAAATATCGATGTGATTGAAGACTGTGAAGAAAAACAACTTGTCACAATTTTGGTAAGTGTTTTACTTCTATCCTTAATGTGCTTTTAATAAAATTTATTAGGACATGCTTTCTCATTTTTCAAGTAAGTGTTGAGTTTCCTCTTCCCTGGCACCTTTCAAAGCTAAAAAGGAAGGATATTTCTTCTAAACAGATAATCTAGCTCCCTGCTTTTCCCTCTCTTTGTCCCCTACAGTCCAATCCACAAAGGTAATTTAGAATCACAACTAAATTAGGCTACAGCAAAAGAGACTGTAGGCATAGACTCTAGAGGTATTATGGACTGGTTTATTTTAATAGCTGTGGATTACACCATGGCCACCCTAGAAGACATGACAGAATTACAGAGAACATAGACCCTTCTAGGCACAATTATCATCCACCATCTCTAGCTTCTCTTCTGGAGCCTGCAGGGATTCAGTTTTTTTCCTATTGTCCACCTATTGGGCCACCCCTATTATTTCTGGTTGAAACTAACTTCTCTTCCAGTTCATTAATCCTAATATTTTGTGTCTACTACTAAACCTACCCAAACCCATTTTCTACAGTTTACTATTAAACCCATCCAATAAATTTTTAATTTCAGAGGTTATCTTTTTCAGTTCTAGAACGCTCATTTAACATTTTTTTTTTAATTCCAGCTCTGTCTTAGAACTTTTCATCATGCTATCTACTTTGCCTAAATTCTCCATCTTGATACCTATGTCACCTATAGGTCTGGTTCTACTATTTATTTTTATTCTTAGCTTTCAGTCATTTGATTTTAAAGCTTGCTTCATATTTTTTTCATTGAAAACTGGACATTGTGGATAAAAACTTGTAGGGGCTGTGGACGATATTATCTTTCTGCAAAGAGGGCTAGATTTTCTTCTGGCAGGTGAATTGAGTTGGTTTTGGATTTTGATTTTAGGGATGGTCTATTTCAGCTTTCCCCTTACAACGAGGGTTAGAGCACTTATTTCTAGACCCAGGCGCTGCAGGTGCTGGGACAGATGCCACAGCCAATAAGAGAGACATGATCTCACCCTTGCACAGCTCACAGTCTCATGGGAAAGTGTCCCTGAGCATGTAAAGAAAATACAATAGAATTGAATGAAGCGATCATTTACTATTTACTGAATATTTCTTGAATAGGGAAAATGAGAAGTTGAGTATTAAAAATGGGTAAAACTGAGGCAACTAACCATTTTATTTTGTATCATAGGGGGAAAAAATAGCCACTACAGTCAGGTTTGGAATTGAATCCCATCACTTAGAAAGTTTCTTGATGGGCACTGGACTTATCAAGGGGATCACTTCATTGACTGTGTAGATGTCTGACCTCTGCGCTGTACACCGAAAGAGCTGAAATAGAATAATTTTATATGTCAACTATTATATATATATATATATATATATATATATATATATGTCACAGGAGGTGGAGTATAGCATAAGGAAGATAGTCAATGGTATTGTAACAGCTATATAAGATGTCAGAGGGGTAGTAGCTTGGGGGAAGGGGACTATCACTTTGTGAGGGGTGTAAATGTCTATTATATTGTTTTATACACCTAAAACTAAAAAAAAGAAAAGAAAAGAAAGTTTCTTACTATAGCTGAGTCTCAGTTTCACCACCTGGAAAGTGGGGATAGTTGTGCAGGTCTGTTGTGAGGATACTATGCACAAAGTCCATAATCCCGTGCCAGGCACGGGAAGGCTCCGTGATTGCATGTGGTATCCATTTATTGTAATTTTGTTTTACACCTAATGCTGAATATGTGAGGTTAAAGGGAAAAAAGGTGAATGCAATCTGACACAGTTTGTCCTTATTTCAACAGAAGGAGGACTTGCCAGACCCAAAGGCTGTAGACCTGTATGACTTCCGCTTCAGTGACTTCCCCATTACAGAGCACGGGCTGATTAAGTGTGGACTACGACTGTTTTTTGAAATAAACGTGGTGGAGAAATTCAAAGTGCCCGTAGAGGTCAGGTGGTCTTTAGTGTAAAATACTGAGTGATTCTGCTGCTGTACTTCTCTAATGTTTCCTGTGGTTCAAAAGATTAACTTTAGTTTGGAGTTTAAATTATTATTAACTTTGTAAATATATCAGCTTAACCCCTGTAAACAAGACCCACTGATCTTTGTAGATAAGATTGTCACAGACCTCCTAACCTTTAGCATTCTGTTCCAAAGTCTGAACGGTGTTGTCTTCTTTCGGTAACAGGTTCTTACCAGATGGATGTACACCGTGAGAAAAGGGTACCGTTCCGTCACCTACCACAACTGGCGGCACGGGTTCAATGTGGGGCAGACCATGTTCACTTTGCTGATGGTAGGTACAGAGCTGTCAATCACTGCAAACCTGCACATTTTCCTTTTGAACATGGTGAGACCTGGAGATGGTCCATTGGCTTAGATCAGTAATTTTGGAATTCAAGAACATAATTCCATAAACGCTAAACTCTCCTGTAGATGATGCCAGACAATGTGGGTATCCTGGGGCACTTGGCTGGATTATCACTCTGACAATCACATGCTTGCCTCCTTAAAGGAAATTGCTGTTACCTGCTGGGTTTTTTTTTTTCAGCTACAGTTGACATACAATATTATATTAGTTTCAAGTGTACAACATAGTGGTTAGGGATTTGTAGAATTTACCAAGTGATCACCCTGATAAATTTAGTACCCACCATATATCTGACACCATACGTAGTTATTACCATGTTATTGACTATATTCCCTCTGCTGTACTTTACACCCCCATGACTGCTTTTGTAACTGCCAATTTGTACTTCTTAATCCCTTCTGCTTTTCACTTACTCCCCTCAACTACCCTCTCATCCTGCTGGGTTTTGTAATTGGCTAGAATGAATTATAATACTCAACAAGAAATAAAGCCAACTTGCTCTAAAAACACAGCAGGTCCCCTTCTCTGTTGCAAGTAGGCCTGACTCCATGTGCTGTAAAGGTGTATTAGTCCATGTACATGCATACTGGTATATGTTTTTTAGACAGGAAGACTAAAGAAATACTACACAGACCTGGAAGCCTTTGCCATGCTTGCTGCGGCTTTCTGCCATGACATTGACCACAGAGGCACCAATAATTTGTATCAGATGAAGTAAGTGAACACACATGGCAAGGTCGACATACATTGATGACGTTTAAAGGTGTCTAAGGGGAGGATGAATGAAAAGCACCTTGTGAGCAGGTTTAGTTGTCAGTATCTTTAATCTCCTTTAATCTGGAACCATTACTCAATTTTTTGGTTGCTATTTTTAGAGTCTAGGCCAGTTGTTTTGCAGAATAGGCCTCAGTTTGGATTTGTCTGTTTCCAAATTACTAGATTCAGGGGAAACATTTTGGGCAGGAATTCTACATAGATGATGTCATGTCCTTCTCAGTGCATTGCATCTAGAGACACATGATATTAATTTGTGCCATTATCTATGAGGTTAAGTTAAACTATTTGTGAATAATGTCTAGCCGATCTCTTTTATGCAAAGGTACATTTCTCCTTTTTATTAATCTGTTACGCGTTATTAATACTTTCAGACTGGGTGAATATCTAGTTCCCCAGGAACATTTCTTGACTGATATTTTTAAATCCAAAGGAGTTAAAGATACCACTCTTTTTTACTTGAATTGAGCTTTATTAATTTTTTTAAAAATCTTCAGTGCTGACACAGAGTAGGCATTTGAATATGCTAAAGTTATGATCAATTGATTAGACATAGTCTAAATTGTTCCCTAACTAGACTATTTGGTTTCCCAGACCCGTTAGTGACCTGTTAATAACTACTCTCTGCCCTAAAGTTCTGTTCTTTCTGAAATAAAATGAAACTTCTCTACTAAGGCTGCCACCCATATTTCTGATGTCTTCCTTCCTGAGAGTTATTTATTCCAAATTTCCATAACAAAGTCTCCACATTATCTATATAGACCTTTGGCCTCAGTCTCTCTCCATCTTTTCTCTTTTCACCGTTTTATTTTTTATGTCACTTCCCCGTCTCAAACAGGAAGAATTGAAGAAAGATAGAATAGCAAACACTGAGGTCCCCACTTACCCAAAGCTGTGACCTAACCATTAACAAATGGGGTATTTAAGTTTAAATTTATCTCACTGTCTTGGAAGAGGAAAGAAGTTTATAGTGATTTTCATTTTGGTCCCTGGAAATTCTTTTTTTTTTTTTTTAAAGATTTTTATTGGGGAATTGGGGAATGGGAACAGCGCTGGGGAATTGGGGGAAGGGGAACAGACATGTTGCTGTCCTTTTGTTCTTCAGTCTGGTTGTGGAAGACGTTGCTTCACGGGCCCAAGTTGGCACCATCATTGCGCTCTTCCCGGGTGAGGCAGATCAGTCGCCGGCTTCTGGACGGCCTCTCACGGCGGCTGCTGGCCGCTCATGCTGGCTGCTGGCTACACATGGTAGCCCATAGCAACCCACTGCAGCAGGGGCTGCAGCCTACGCCGTCGCCAGCGACTCACAGCAGCCCAGCTCCAGGCTGAGCTGTTGTTCAGCATCTTAGCTGTAGAGGGCAGTGTCACTGGCCCTCATGTGGGATCCGAACCGCAGCCCTGCAGCTCAGAGCTGATGCTCCCAAGTGAGCTCTTAACCAGCTGAGCCACTTGGCCGGCCCTAAAGGATTTTTTTAAAAGAGCATGTTCTCATCTTCTAAATCTAAAAAAATTATTTTCCAGTATGCTACTTTTGACCATTTCACAGGCATTAAGGGAGAAGGAGGTGGAAGAAATGAAAAAAATCCTCAGATAGTCAAGATTCTATATTGTATAGACTTATGTGTCATCTTCAAACAGCTACTATAATGGCATATCCTTCTTGTCCTAGATCCACATCTCCGTTAGCAAAGCTTCATGGATCTTCTATTTTGGAAAGGCACCACCTGGAGTACAGCAAGACTCTCCTGCAGGACGAGGTACATGAGCCTCTATGTAGGGCAGCTCACAGGTTCTGATTCAAAACACTAACCCACAGGAAATGCTTGGAAAGAGGATGGCTTTGAGTTATGGAGGCTGACAGTGGACACCTTTACTAAAGTCAATTGACAGAAATTGCTATAGTGCAACAGTTTTTGAACAACCAAGTTGGAAGTAGCTGAGATAAAGGAGAAAAGAGCCAGGGAAAGTCACAGAATCTCTACGGGTCTGTGAAGAAAGAAGAAAAAGCTTATGGTGAATGTGAAAGGGCTCCATGCCATCCTAAAGTATGTATACATGTAAAGAGGAAAAATGGCATGAAATCGAGCTATAGGACAAGTGCCATTAGAGAGGCACTGAGAGGTCCAGAGGGAGTGGGGCATAGGTGAGGACAGGGACAGACAGGATCAGGGTGGCTCTATGCAGGAAATGGCTTTGAGTTTGGTCTTGAATTCACGTTGATTTGTACATATCATGTCCTTCCATGGGAGGTAGTCATTCTTCCCTTTTTCAATTTTATTTAAGGAGCATATAGGCAGTGGAAAAGTTGTGTATACAATCTATACTTATACTTAAAAAAAAAATCTCTTGAGAAAGTTCCAAACCAAAAACAACGAAAAGGAGTCATTTATTAGATGGAGGGGAACACTGTTTAGTCATAATAAAGAATTTGTTTAGAATCACACCTGCTCATTAGGATAAGTAAGCCCTCTTGAGAGTGAAGCTTTTCTGTTTCGATAATGATCTTTTATTAAAGGCTCAGGGGAAAGGATACACAGAAATATGTCCAAGTTTAGACATAACACTACATTCTTCTAGGTAATGAAAAGCCAGATGGGAAAACTTATAAGGCAGAGTGACCAGGCAGAAAAATGGAAAAAGAAAAAAAATGACTTGAGTGTTTTTAATAGCCTATGATTAAGGCAGCGCCCAGACATGGGGACCCAGACCAACTGTGACAGAATTATTGGTGTAGCAGGGCAGGTGTGGGCAGGCTGTTAAAAACAGATCCTGGGCTTCTTTTCATGCTGATGGGGCTCTCTGGGGTGGGGGTCCAGGAATCTGCATTTTCAATAAGAACTTTAATAATTCTGATGTACAGCCAGAACTTCTCCATGAAGTAGGATTTATGCCATAAAAATGATGATAGTATCTGTTCTGTGAGAATTAAAAGGTGTAAAATTGAAAGTAATTCAGAAAGAGACAGTAAATTGTTATTATCCAATTTGTTATGAGTCTCTGTTTTACTGGTCGGGACAATCTTATATTTTTGGGTAAGAATTTTCTATACATCCCACTGATTTATGTGATACCACAGGCAGATCGTGTCAAATATATTATTTAATTTCACATGTACTTACTACAGGACAATGTGTTTAAAAACTACAGCCAAATATTTAAATGCTTAACATTTGGAAGGATCCTTGTATTTTGTATGTTTTTCCCTTCTAGTATTTGAGAGTTTATAATAGAGTTGTGGGTTTCCATCTTAATTGTTTTAAAGTTATTTACTCAGCAGTCTGAACTGGTTTTGATGGCTACATAAAGGCTTATTATTCTTTCTAAAAAGGAATATTGCATCTCAGTAATCTTTACCTTCTTGGTAAGGACCTGTCTACGATGCTATTCAACCTGCTAATTGCAGACTTTTAAGGACTGTAAATAGAGTCGCTAAGCAATGCAATCTCAGAGTTTTTTATAAGCGGGCAAATTGAATGCTGAAAAAAATAAAATTTTTAGCCATCAGATGTTCTGTATACATTTTTGGGGGACAACGCAGTTCTTTTATTTACTTTTTTGTATAAAGGAAATATTTACATTAAAACCCTTTTTTAAAAAAATAAGGGAAATGCTTAAGATTTATCTAGCAATTTTGCCATTTTGTGGGCATGACTCAGACATTTTGCTTTGCAGATTATAAGGCTTTGATATAAAATGTCCTCCTATCCCAATTGAGTGGCATTCACAGCTTTGAGGACTATAACCACCTGTGTTCTAACCAGACATAAATCTGCCCTTTAACCTGAGTGGCTAGCTGGAAAAATGTTGTTCGTCAAATTTGTAAGAGTATACATTTTAATACTATAACATATTGTAGAAATGACAAAATAAATTGCTCAGCATAAATCGCAGAACCATTTTATTATTCAAAACACTTCACTACAAAGTGAACAATAATTCTATTTGTGCTTTTTTGTACCCACTCCATCTTACGAAGAAGAAATTAAATATCTTGTGTATGGTTATCAGCAAGCCATGGATACCTGTTGGCGATCTTCTCTTACGGGCATTGCAGGTACCACCCTGAAGATCAGAACTGCCTGCCCTTTCTGTGGCTTCACCTCACCTGGATTGAATCAGAGCCACTTCTACCTATTTGGGTGTGCTACATACAGAATTGATGTATTTTTGTCGCCATTTTAATAGTAGGGGGAGAACAAAAATAGACTCTTTCCATGAGTGGGTGGGGCCCAGCTGGAATGGGGCTGGGAGATAGGCCTCCTCTCTTGCGCCGTTGCACCTGTGTCTACACCACGTTTTCAGCACCGTCCTCGGGAGAATAAATGGAATGTTACACGCTTACGTAGTTTTAAAATTGATTTAATAATTGTCAAAATGAGAGGACATTGCTCCAATGACTTTTGGCTTTAAAGCGTTGCCTTGAAGAGGTAGACATGGTCAGTCTGATTTTCTCCCTAGCATGTGAATTGCTTTTTCTGCATAGATGATCTTACGACTCTTTATTCGTCATTTTTTAGTGGCTGTACCTGAATGTCTTGATGTTAATCACTTTCCATCAGGTTTTATCCTGACTATGGATTACACTCGTATGAGCTACCATTTCATGTGTTTATTGGCCTTTTTAAAATTATTAGTTTCAGGTGTACAAAACAATATAATAGTTGGACATGTACACCCCTCACAAAGTGATAACCCCTTTCCCCCAATCTACTACCCCTCTGACATCATATAAAGCTGTTACAATTTCAATGACTCTATTCCCTATGCTGTACTCACACCCTATGACTATGTATCTATATTAAATTATAGTTGACGTTTATTATTATTCAGCTTCAGCTTCAGGTGTACAGTGCAGTGGTCAGGCATCATTGGCCTTTTGATGTTCTGTTTTTTGGGTTACTTGACTTTGCTTTTAACTTGATTTGTAGGAATTCTTTATATATTCTGTTTTACATGTCTTTTGTTGGATATGTGTATTGCAAATATCTTCTCCCTGAGTTGCCTTTTTATTCTCTGAATGATGGATTTCGATGATCAGTCTTAGTTTTAATATAGTCCAAGTTGATCAATTTTTTTAAAATTGGCCCCTTTTTTTTCCTCTTAAAAAAATCTTTGCCTACTCAAGACTGTGGAAATATTTTTCTGTAAAAGTGGTATTGTTCTATTTTTCTAATTTAGATCCACAATCCTTTGCCAAATTAACTTTATAAATGATGTAAGGTAAAGATTTAAGATACATTTTTCTTCCCATGTGGAAATCCAGTTGACACAGCACCACTTATTCAAAAGGTCACCCTTTTCCCACTATACTTCAGTGCCATTTTTGTCATAAATCAGGCAGCTGTGTAGGTGTGGCTGTGTCTGCCCTCTCTGTTGTTCCACTGGCCAGTTGGTTTCTCCTTTGTCAAATACTATGTTATTTACTATACCTTTCTAATAAGTTTTAATTTCTTAGACTGTAAATTCTCCAGCTTTGTTCTCCTTCAAGATTGCCTTGGCTTTTATTAACCCTTTGCATTTTCATATGAATTTTAAAATCAGTTTGTCAACTTACAAATGCACAGACATACACAAACCTGTTGGTATTTTGCTTGGAATTGCATTGACTCTATAGATTTCTTTTTGTGCTTATAGTCTTTATGCAGAGGTTTTATGCTGTTTCCTTTTGAAAATGACTCATCCCTTAATGGAACCAGCTCTCTGCTGAAGAATACTATGGGAGAAGGGCAGGAATTAGCTGAGGAAATCTTCAGCTTCCTGTTTTATTGTCTCAAACACTCTCATCAATTCTATTTCTTTTGTCTTGGAAACTGCACTTCTTTGATTGCGGCTCTCCAGAAATTGGTGAGGCTCATATTGAGCAAAGCTGATGCATTACAGGCTGTCTGTGTTATCATCTGGCCATTGCTGTCTGTCTGCCTTCCTTCATTTCTTGTTACCTATGGCTTACTCTTTGTCCTAGGAGATTAAGTAGTTGGAGTCAATACAAATGTATCTCAGCATAGCTTTTCCATCAACTTCTCTGTTGCTGTTCTGTAGTCAAACTGGGTCTTGGGGTTATATACTTATTTTTCCTGTGTGCTGTGCACATCCGGAGACTCCTTGCTCTAATTAAAGGATCACTGGCTCTAGGTTTATTTTTAAAAAACAAACAAACAAAAACCATTGCATATGTGCATATGTGTTTAATCCTCATTTTTTTCCAAAATTTAATGGAGCTTCCAAAAATGCATTTAACAGTAAAGAAAAAGAAAACGAGAGCTAATGGAAAAATAAGAAAAATAAGATGAAGTATGGTAAAGGCCCAAAATGTGCCCAAAATGTGCACAGTGAGGTATAAACATTTACTAGACATGGGCCACCCATTTGGTCAAGAGCTTTCTAACAACTAACACAAAAACATAAGCAGGATCTTTTATATGAATCTATAGCTATAGCGTAAGAGAAACCACTTAGGAGTGTCTCATTTAAAAACCTTATCTATGAAAGGAAGAGAATATATAAAAGAATATAGAATTAAGAAAGGGTTTTGCAATTAGTAGACTTGTACATATTTTTAGGAAACTGAAAATGAGTGAGAAAAACAGGTAAGAGTGAAATTCAGGTATATGGTGCTAACTATAAAAAAAGCAGTACTGAAAGTTGAATGTATACCCTTTTTCTTTGACTATACTAATTTTAAAAGTATGTCATTATTCATCTTTTTTAAAAACTCCAATATTGATTTACTTTGTAAAGTGAAAGGCCTTTTGACAGTCTGTGAGCTTTAATACAGCTGTTTCATTATTTTGGATTGGAAAAAGGTAGGACTTAAATGGACTACAAAAAGATTAGTCATATTTATTTTTATATTTCTCTTTATACGTAGCCTTTTCTCTCACACACACGTATATTTAGCAAATAGCAACAGGTATCCAGGTTTACAAATATAAGTAACATGCATTAAAATAATTGGTGCATAAAAAATAAATATTGATTTATTTGGTCAATGGTTATAGATTATGTACTCTGTACAATCTGACACTTGGTAGAGACAGGAAGTTCTATCCTAAGGGATCATTTAAATTCAACAGGAAGTTCTATCCTAAGGGATCATTTAAATTCAACAGCCTGTTTTGTTTCCCACCTACCCCCATTCGAAAATGTTTTTATTTTGGTTTTTCTAATAACTTTTTGTTTAACTTTATTTTTTTAGATTACATATATTTAAGGTGTATATGTTTTGATATACAGATACATAGCGAAACAATTACTAGTCAAGCTAATTAACATATCCATCTCCTCACATATTTACCTCCCTGGGGGAGGGGGGGGGTGAAAACCCCTGAAATCTACTGTCTAGCAAATTTTCAGTATACAAACATCTTAAGTATTAAAATGTCTTCATGTGGTTTTAACATTCCTGTATTTAAAAGTTTAAGGCATTTCTACACATGCCCCCCCACTTTTCCCCCTAGCACAGCAATCAAGGATGACTTTACGTTTCACTGGATCTACAAAGTATATGTTGGAATCACATAATGCACATGACTTTTGGGACATAAAAATGCACATCAATGAACAAATAAAGGCAGTGATTCACTGACATAAACATGCCATTGGGTCCCACCAGTCCAAAGGCAGGCCACCATGGTACCAAAATGAGGGGCAGATTAAGTGGGATTAAAATTACAAATGCCTCATTTATTCTCCCTGGCTAATCCAGACCAGGTTGAAAATAGCCTGTATCCAGAAGATTTGGTTCAGAGATGATAGATGGATATGTCCAAGGGTCTCTGTGAACTGTCTCAAGTAAGAAGCCGAATTTGATCTAGACAAGCTTTCTTTTCATTTATTGTACTTTGGCGTGTTCAACAGCCATTTCTTCACTCTGTCAATTTAAAAAGACTAACTATAGTTGCTATTATGAACTCGTTATTTTAACCAAAAAAATCACAGCTTCCCTTTCTATAATTTATATCTGCTGTGTAAAAATACTTTTTTTTCTTGCCCGGGAAGTTGTTATAAAAAGATGACTTAAGTGAAGATTTTCATAAAATGTAGTATAGTATGTAAGTACAATTTGAACTTTTGTACATTTCTTGCTTTCTAATATTTCAATCTCCTGGAATGACAGAGAGCCACATTTGGTCTTGGGTTTGCAATTCTGTTTTAACCTGAAGCTAGCCTCAAAACTTTATGTAACAATGATACAGCCTTTGTAGCTATTTACAGTTTTAAAATGCATTCCCAGTTATAGTCTCATTCCACAAATATTTATTGATCATAGACTAAGTGCTAGGCAGTTAGGTGGGGCAGCTGTTATTATACCCATTTGAGAAAGCAAATACTCACAGATGTCAAGTGACGTGTCCAGGATTACACAACTACCACGTGGTGAATCTGGGAACTGAGCCTGGGGCCCCTGTTGAGAGGCAGTGTAGTGCCATGCTGCATTGGTTTAGATACCAGTTCTGCCATGTACTCACTGTTTAACCTTGAGCAAGTTAATTAATCTCTCTGTGCTGTGGTTTGTTGAGATTAAGAGTATTCATAAAACACTTAGAACAGTGCCTGTTAAGTAGTAAGCATTATGTGAGTGTTTGCTATTATTATTTGGTGCTTAGTTCCGTATTCTTTTCTACATTATACTGTCCCTCTCTCTCCATAGGTTAATAGACCATTTACTCTTTTTTTCCACTGGACTTTTTCTGTATTTCATTTGGTCAAACCACTGTACATCTGCCCTTTGGCCTGTATGTCTAAAATGGTCTATTTAGACCAACTTGCTCTGGTTTGCTAGAATACTAAGAAATGAAGCAGATCCATATGTGAAGAGGTTACTAGTGGAAACTCTTTGAAGGAGTCTAGTTAAGTCTTTGTAAAACATAACTTCAAGGAAACATTTTAAGAACAACTTGGGAGAATTTCATTATTTTTCCTACATACACAAGAGTACTAGTGTAATTTGCAGTTTTTGAAAGTTTTCCAGTGGTTTCTATGATCATTTTGAAATTACCTGGTGGCTAATTCAATGTGTCAACAATTGGACACCTACCAGATCTTCTTTAATAAAGCTCTTTAATTAATACAAGCAAATTTTTAAATCTGTTGTTTTTTAAATGGTCCTGGGAGAAAACACTTATTCAATGTTCATGTTGATTACATGAACATTCGCTAATAATATCTATTTTTATAGTTTAAATTAATCTTACTCAAATCATAGAGGTTTGCTTAATCCAAGAAATAAAAATTGAAAGCAAAATAGTGAAAAACCTAATGTTTCTTCTCTCTATAGTAGAATAATCTTTATTTTTGTTAAGCATAGTTTGGTTTGTTTGTTGAATCAGAGGAAAACTAATGATTACACTTTATTGTGAATTTTCATCTTACAGAGTTTAAACATCTTCCAGAACCTAAATAAACGCCAGTTTGAAACAGTTATTCATTTGTTTGAAGTTGCAATAATAGCAACTGACCTGGCTTTATATTTCAAGTAAGTACAGAACTTCCTTATACTCTGTGTGGTTCTGCCTCCCATAAATGATCCATTGCATTGAAGTTGAAAGGCATTTATTCACACACACATTTATTCATTTTCCTTTTAGATTATCAACAGAATATCATTAAGATGCCTGACAGTGAATTTACTAGACATCTAGAAACATATTTTTTAAAGCTAAGCCCCGGATATTAAGTAGTTTGTTATCGGAAGACGTTTTCTTTATTTTTGTGTTTTAAAGATTTTATTGGGGAATTGGGGGAGGGAAAAAAAAGTTGCTGTTTTTTTGTTCTTCAGTCTAGTTGTGGAGGACGTCGCTTCACTGGCCCATGTTGGTATTATCATTGCGCTCTTCCCGGGTGAGGCAGTCACTCGCCGGCCAGTGGACGGCCGCTCATGCTGGCTGCCAGCCACTCACCATAGCTCATGGCAGCCCACTGCAGCAGGGGCTGCAGCCTATGGTGTCACCGGTGATTCACGGCAGCCCAGCTCCAGGTCGAGCCGTTGTTCACCATCTTAGTGTCACTGGCCCTTATGTGGGATCCAAACCAGGGCCCTGCTGCTCAGAGCTAGCGTCCCAAGCCAACTCCTAACCAACGTGCCACTAGGCAGGCCCTGAAGATGTTTAAATTGAAGAATATTCAGCAAGGTTGGTGCCTTACCAGAAGAGTGATGCCACCAAACCTTACAAGGTGGATCTTTGTCCTGGTGAATTTACTGTGGTCTGGAGTCTGACATTTGATCCTGTCAGTCAGGGAGATGGACAATCTTGATGATACTGACGCATACTAACCAAGCTCACAGAATTCTGACATATCCAGCAGAGCACCAGCCTATAATTTATGATAATAGTTCCCAAGGAGACTAGATACTGCAAGCTTCTGCATATTTTCTTATCAGGAACCATAAAGTTGCTTGGTGAAAATGGATTAGAAAAAGGTGAACCAGAGATAGAATTAAAATATTTAATGACCTGGATGTGCAGTATCAAATTGTGCCTCTCTGATCCTTCTTAAAAATTTAATTATTAAATAGTTCAAACATTAAGACAGATGCTTAGAATAATATAATTGATATCCAAATATCCATAACTCAGATTTAACAGAAGTTAAGATCTTGCCATATCTGTCTTAGATCTTATTTTTTTTAAGGAGCAAACAAGTGATACAAGTAGGGCACCCCACCCCTACTGCACCATGAATACCTCCCTCTCCTCTGCCTCACAGTCACCAGCATCTTGATGTTGATGTGTATTCATCCTTTCTATCCATGTTTTTACATGGTATTGTGAAGGGGTTTTTTTGTTTGTTTGTTTGCTTTTTAAGCTGAGCCATCCTGCTACCTGTTGGCAGCTCATCGGCTGCTCAGCTCGGGCTGGACTCGAACCGCTGTTGCTCAGAGCTCAAACTCTTGAGTGAGCTCTTAACCATCTGAGCCACTCAGCCGGCCCAAGTGAAGTTTTTTTTCATTTTCCATAAATGGTATCATACTGTACATACCTTCCTACAACTTGCTTTTTTCATGCATGTTTTTTGGGGTTTTTTTTTAAGATTTACCTTGGTGGTAAATGGACATCCAATTCATTTGTTTTAACTGTATATTCAACTGTATGAACATATCATAATTAGTTCAGCCGTTCTTCTATTCATGGACATTTAGACTGTCAACTTTTCATTATTACTTATAATACTACATTATATGTCCTTGTAGATATATGGGAGTTTCTCTAAAGTACATACTTAGAAATGGGTTGCTGTAGGGTTTGCATATCTTAAATTTTAAACATTGCAAAACTGCACTCCTAAGGCATTGTGTCACTTTAAACTCCTACCAGCTGTGTACAAGAGCTTCTGTGAGTCCTTTTCTGGGTTACTCTTGATCTGAGCACATTTAAATCTATTTATTTATTTTGTTAAACTGAGTGTAAGATGGTATCTTATTGTTCAGATCTGTTTTTTCTTGTTTATCTGTGAGCTTGGACATCTTTTCATTTTTTTAGGTTCCAATTTTTTCTTGGTTTTCTACATTATAATATCGCATGACAGCCTGTGGCCTTTATGTTATGATCTCTTTTGTCACATGTAACAACATTTTCAAGCTTATCAATTTTTTTTTCTTTATGGCTTGTGCTTTTTGTCTTAAACCCTTGCTATGCTAAGGCTACAGAGCTATATACCCTTTTCTCCTCTCCCCTGACCCCTTAGATCCACAATGTGGACAAAGGATGCAAGGTGGGAACATGAAATCTGAAAAGCACATATTAAACATACTTTTTTATCTCTGATCTGATATGCTAAAAATATTGCACAACTATATCTTTTTTTTAGGAAGAGAACCATGTTTCAAAAAATTGTTGATGCCTGTGAAAATATGGAAACTGAAGAAGAGGCCATCAGATACGTAACTGCTGATCCAACCAAAAAAGAGATTATCATGTGAGTGATCAGAATTTTATTCCTCTTTTGGCAAAAATAACTTATTTTGTATGTCTATTTTAACAATTTTTGTTTTCTTCCAAAGGGCAATGATGATGACTGCATGTGACCTGTCAGCTGTAACCAAGCCCTGGGAGGTACAAAGCCAGGCAAGTCCAGTTATGTTCTCTTTGCTGCCACACTCTCAGGCACCGTCTAGGTCCCGTGTCAAAGTGAATAGGAAGATACCTGGTAATCTCAGAACTTTATTATAGCTATCAGTTATATGACTATATATTTTATAATTATCTTTCATTACCCTGAACTTGTCCTCTCAATCGGTTTATAATTTGAAAAAGAGGAACTTGAGGAGTTAAGACAAAGATAAAATGTTCCCTGTTGGGTTTCCGTTAATGAAGAAAGGCAAATAGCTTTCAAGAGCTCACAAATGCCAGTAAGACAGTATTGATCAGGCCCCAGACCAAGACACGCAGAGGGAATACTGAAAGAAAATGCTTCTTGAAAGAATTCCTTATCATTGAACAGGCTGTGAAATGTTTATATATAATTATTCAGGGACTGTCTGAATTTTTTCAGTAGAGGTGATAAATCAGCACAAGACAAGGATGAATCAGTAGTGCCTTCCTCTATCAAGGGTGGTTTTGCTCCTACAACCTCGTCTTCAATGTGCTGTAAACTATTAGAAAGCCCTGAGTTTGTGTTCAAGGGTGCCTTCCATGGGAGTTCTCCCCAACCTTGGGGAGCTGAGAGTGGGGAGCCACTAGTTTACCACTGGATTTCTTACTAATAATTGCATGAAAGAAGCTTCTTTTTCCCTCAGTAATTTCTTGGGAAAACCCTAAGCAGAAGAGAAGCCAGAATTCACTGAGTTCAACTATAAATGTGGATATATAGTACTATATGTATTTATATGTATTTGTAAAGATAGAATAATTAGAACCATCAAGTCCAAAGCCAAAGACTTGTGCTCCTTCCGCCCTGATGTGCCTGTTCTTCTTCCTCTATTATTCATCCACACAACCACCCAAGCAAGGCCAGCAACCTAGCGTCTTGCTTGAGTCCAGCTTCTCCATTTCAAAATCATTCCTGTCTATCACCTGTGCTACAACCTCCGTTCAGACTTTCATCAGAACTATGGTGATAGCCTCCTAAGTGATGCTCTCTCATCACTAACTCCCCATTCTTCCTCGGAGCTGCTGTTGGGTTTTATAAATAGAGCCTGCTCAGCCATTCCACAGCTTAAAAAGCTGTCTAAATTCTCCATTGCCAGAGGTTTTCAACCTTTAAAAAAAAAAGTCTATTTTCCCCCCACAAAAAGTTGTACAAAAATCACTTTATAGGGGCAGTTGGTTGGCTCAGTTGGTAAGAGCGCGAGCTCTGAACAACATGGCTGGCAGTTCGATTCCCACATGGGCCAGTAAGCTGTGCCCTCTACAGCTAAGATTATGAGCAATGGCTCCACCTGGAGCTAGGCTGCTGTGAGCTGCCGTGAACTGCCGTGAGCCACCATGAGTGGGGCTGTCTAATGGATGGTGACCAGATGCCTCAGCTGGGAGAGAGAGCAATGGTCATAATACCAACATGGGCCAGTGAGCTGCGTCCTCCACGACTAGACTGAGAACAACAGCTTGACTTGGATTTGGGGCGAGGGGGAGCAGGGGGGAGAAACACTTTATAAAAGAGAAAAAAAGCAACACTACTTTAGCTTCAGTCTCTCTTGGCCTCCACCTTGGGCCACTAGGGCACTTTGGAGAAACCCTAGGGCTCAAGAAATAAGAACCATTGGCCTAGAGAATCAAGTTCAAACTTCCCAGCAAAGCTCACATGGCCACTCACTACCTGTCCTTAACATACACGCCCCCCCCCCCCCCCCCGTTCACTTCCCATCACTCTCTCCCATGTCACCACCTACACTCTTAAGCTCCTACTCATGTAAGCTCTGGACGTTTAATTTTATCTCTGCACAGTCTCCCTCTCCTGTTTAGCTGGCAAACTACCATTCATCCTTGATGATAAAGCACAAGTGTAACCTCCCTCCTTTATGAAACGTATCTTTACTCTCGTTTCCTTGATCCACAGCACTTCATACCATTTCTATTATAGCACTAACCACTCTGTTCACGTGACTGTCTTCACTAGACTATGAGCATCTTACAGAAAATGGTTATATCTTATTCCTTTTGGCAAGCCTGGCTCATGCCAATGTAAGGCTAGTAGATGTTCAATGAACTTGATATTGGTTTTTTTAAAAGCTATATAAATTAACCCTGAAATATCGGCACACTGTAACAAATAAAGCTATGTGCATGTGAGAGCATGTGTACAAGCACACATGCAGATAGACGCTAGATGCTAACAGGTAAGCAGGACAAGAGGATCTGGGAAGCTTTAGAGCCTGAAGCATTATGTAATGGAATTAAACATCTCCTCTTTTTATTGTTGAGGGTTGGTGGCAATAGCAGATAGGAGGTAGGCACTCTCAGAATGAGCGCGGAACACAGAAGTAGGAAGAGAAATTCCCCTTCCCCAATTCAACATAATCTGTAAATGACATTTTTTAAAACCAAAGAGCATATGGTATGGCAGTACCCCAAACATTAACTATGAACCCTATCCTTAAACATCACTCATGCTAATTAAATGCATCTTCTTTATTAAGTTGCTTTCATGAACCCAATTTTTCTTATTTGCAGGTAGCACTTCTGGTTGCGCATGAATTTTGGGAACAAGGAGATTTGGAGAGAACAGTGCTGCAGCAACAACCTATTGTAAAGACCTTGTCATAAAAATGCACTACTTATTAAAAATTGATACAAATTTGTCTATTTTGTTCACTGAATTTGAGAAAACGATCTTTAAAGGATTTATTTTTCTTTCTAGCCTATGATGGACAGAAACAAAAAAGATGAACTACCTAAACTTCAAGTTGGATTTATTGATTTTGTTTGTACTTTTGTATATAAGGTAAGTAAGCAAATTATTTGAGTGAAATACATAATCATCTGGATGAGACTCTTTCAAACTATAACCCAAATAAAAAAGGCACCCACATGGAAAGCCATTGTGGTGTCCTTATTTCTCCAAAGTAGTTTGAGGTAGTATCCTGATCTCTCATTCAGGGCTGGAATAAAAGGAGACCTCAGATGTGAGCAAATTGAACAGACTAATTAATGTAGGCTGTTCTCTCCCCGTTTCCAAGGCACTGAATTAAGCTCATCCTAGCAGCTCTGAGCACAATTCCTTACGGTTCCCCTGCATATAAAAGTACTGAATATCAACCATATAATTTAAGTAGTTTTTATTATTTTTTATTATGAAATACATATTATTTAGAATTAGTTTCAGCTGTACATTAAGTAGTTTTTGACCTCTACATTTCTCTGTAGGAGTTCTCAAGGTTTCACAAAGAAGTCACACCTATGCTGAGTGGTCTTCAGAATAACAGAATGGAATGGAAATCCCTAGCTGATGAGTATGAGACAAAGATGAGAGTAACTGAAGAAGAGGTGAAAAAGCAGGAAGAAGGAAACATGATCGAAAAAGGTTAGATGGACTTTTTACTTCTTGCTTCATCCACTCTAGAAGGTGGCTGCTGAGGTACCTCTGCAGAACACTGAGTTTTTAGAAAGAATATGAAAACCACAGAAATCAGTGGGATCAGGGTTCGGTGAGCAAACAATTTCAGTCCCAACATTGTGCATTAGCTTGAGACTTTGAGCAACTTGCTTAACATCTCTGAGCTTAATATTCCTTTCTATGTAATGAGAAGGTTTTACAGATCTCGGGAGACTTAAGGAAGCCCTACATGTAAAGCAAAGCTGGCCAGCTGGATGAGGTGACTGACAGGTACTCTAAGACTCAGCCTGCGCTTCAAGTGTCTCCACACAATGCTGTTTTCCCCGATGAAATTTCTACTCGTTAGGTTTAACATATTCAGAAAGCCTCTGTTAAGATGCTTACGATCAACTATTAGTACATCAGATGTCTCAAAATGTTATCTTTAAAGTGGAATGCTAATGTGATGACCTCATATTTTGTCTTGAGAGTTCAGCACTCAAGGTTGTGTAAGCAATTCCTGTTTAACAAAGAAATTGTATCTATCTGGAAAGGCCTTGTACAACAGAAGATACAACATTCCTTTTAGAAGATTCTATTGTGTTTAGTGGTATTTTAAAGACTTCATAGAGGGAGGAAGTATTCTGCTGAAAAGGTTCAGGATGTCCTTCAACAGAATAAGAAGTTTCAGACTCTTTGATATCCAGTCACTTACGTACTCATTGGTTGTCTATTCTGTACAAGGCCTGTGTTAGGCAGGCCCTGGGGAAAGATGGGGTCCTTATCTCACAGATCTTACATCTGGTGGGGAAGCTGGATATTAAGCCAATAAATGAACAACTGATTATCCAACTATAACTGTCAGAGAAAGCATGAGGTGTGTACCTGGAGCATCCTGGAAGTCTTTCCTGAAGAAGGATGCTTATGCTAAACACTTAGGCTTTGGCTAAGCAAGGAAAGAAAAAGGGGTTGGGGAGGAAGGAAAAGAACAGAATATATATGCACAAAGGCCTCGAAGTTGGCAATAAGCCTGGTGCAACTGAAACTTAAGAAGTGGTGTCAACGGGGTCTAGAAAGCAACAGGGCGAAGCACCAGTTAAAGCTGGTAAGCAGTCAGCTCTGCCAGGTAAGGCCTTGCCTTCAAGGCCTTGCTAAGGATTTGTCCCCTAGGAGTAATGGGAAGTCTTAAAAGGGATTTAAACAGGAGAGCGGTAAGATCTGATTTGCACTTCAAAAAGATAACAAAAGTGGTCACTTCACTGAGCAAGTGAAAGCAAAGATATTTCTTAGTACAATTAAATCTTTATCTCAATTTTATGATGAACAGGATATCAGGCCCTTTAAGTGGCTCCTGAGATTTTCTTTTAGTATTCAGTATATTGGACATGGATCTTCTATACTTTATGTGCATAAAAAATTACTTCTGCATTTTCTTCCTACTACACTGAGGCCTCTGGGAACTAGGAACATTATTTTGTGTTTCTAGGCAACGAGCATTGTGCCTGGCACAAAGAACACCTCAGATTCCCAGATTGTGTAGTTCAGTAGTTCTCTTGAGAAACAGATGTTATAATTGGCTAATCATTTATTAGATTCTATTTTTTAAACAGACCAGTTCTGAATATGAATACAGGATTTTAAATGGTCAAACCCTTAGTATTTGCTATAAGTTAAAACTATTAATTAGGCTCTAAAGTTGATACTAATATGAGTGTTAGAATAAAAACACTGTATTTCCACTGACTCTCACTAATACTGCTTTTCTCCTTTTTACTAGCTGCAGAAGATTCAGGAGGTGGTGGCGATGACAAAAAGTCCAAAACATGTCTAATGTTGTAATATAATACAAATTGTTTTCAAATACTGTTTCTACTTTTGAAGAAAAACAAAATATTCAAAAAAAACTTCAGCAAATTTCATTCAGCAAACCATCAAGTGATAGAAAAAGAGGAGCTTTGGTGGTGGCACACCTTTCTCTTGTGACTATCAAGAGAAAATATACTGCTAACCTGAAAACCCTGGCGGGTAAAATAAAGTTCAACAGAAGTGCAAAATAAGATGAAAATGAGTGCATTTTTTGGTGCCAATTTGTTTTAAATTAAAAACATATAATCCTGATACTAGTCACCAATTCTTGTTTTTAAGAGTTCTTATTATATTCATTTGCTAGGGCTACCATAACAAAATATCATAGACGGAGTGGCTTAAACAACAGAAATTTTTATTCTCACAATTCTGGTTGGCTGGAAGTCTAAGATCAAGATGTTGGCAGGGCTGGTTTCTTGTGAGGCCTCTCTCCTTTTTTGTAGATGGCTGTCTTCTCCCTGTGTCTTTACCTGGTTTTTCCTGTGTGTCTGTGTCTTCATCTCTTCGTATGGGGTCACACACTGGATTAGGGCCCACTCATACAACCTACTTTTGCTATAACTACCTCTTTACCCACCCTACCTCCAAAATACAGTCACACTGTGAGGTATGGGAATTTGAATTTCAGCGTATGACTTTGAATGTCAATGTATGACATAATTCAGCCTATAACATTAATAATTGTGATTTATACTACAAATCCCTTCCTAAACTAAAAATAATCAACATGTCTTAATGTAAGAGTAAATGCAGTATAGAATGTATCAAAAAAAAGGATGTCAAATGTTATTCCATCTGAAATGCGTACCATCTCTTTCCTCTATTTTTACCACTTTTGGTAGTTTATAAAACTATGTCTTTGTCCTATGCCCATCCCTCTCTGCACGTCTGAAATCAATTATTTTATGTGTAGCTAAGAATATTCTTTTATGTTCAGAGCTATTCTTCTCACTGAAAGAATTATCAATTTATAAGACATTACCTGGATAATCCCAATGTAAGTTAAACCAGCTAATATTATGCATTAAAAAGCATGTGAATTAATTATGCAAGAACTTTATTATCAAAAGCCATTTGGAAGGACTTCAACAGAAGTTACTTTTAAAAAAAAAAGATTACTAGAACTAAATACCAGGCATTTTATCAAGAGATAAAATGACTTATCAAGAGAAACTAAGGACAATCAACTACTTCTACTACATGGTGTAAGTCTGGACATCAGAAAAATTTAAGATTTCTTCTTTTAATATCTATAATCATAGACCAAATTAGAAAACAGACCAAATAATAATTACACCATAGATTTTGTCAAGATACCAAAATTATACTGAATTGAATTGACGATCTATGAACCTCAAAAGTTTTGTTATACAGAGATACTAATTTTAAGTAGTGAAGAAGTAAGTCACCATTTGTTATATTTTTACAAGTTAGGTACTTAGCTTCCCAATTGCTACTCTCACATTAGAATGTAAGGTCCATGAAACAAAAGCTTTTGTCTGTTTTAGTCTGTTTGGTTCACAGCTCTATCCTAGCACCTAGAGAAGTGCCTGGTATAAGTTAGGTGCTTGGTAAATATGAATGAATAATATTTTGAATAAATCTCATATCAAACAGGTATAAATGAGGAGGGCCTGTATGTTAATAAAACATTTCTAGGGGGAAAAACACTCACTCGATATATACACCCAAATGACTGTTGTCTATTTAAGTTATCACCTTGGGCAAGTGGTACTTGTACACCTTATTTCTACTGCTTAAAATAATTTTGAAACTCCACTTCTAGCATTATTTTAGAAACTGCATAAGAAATCTCTAACTTTATGTAATTTTTGATCCCAAAATGTCAGTCAGCTCAAAGAACTTCCCCTCCTCATTCACTAGAAAACAAATCATGGGGAAGAGATGCGCCACCACTGAAAGTCTGAAAAAATAGGAACTTTGCGGGCCGGCCGAGTGGCACGATGGTTAGGAATTGGCTTGGGACGCCAGAGGGCCCGGTTCGGATCCCACATATGAGGTCCAGTGACACTGCCCTCCACAGCTAAGATGCTGAACAACAGCTCAACCTGGAGCTGGGCTGCCGTGAGTCGCCGGTGACAGCGTAGGCTGCAGCCCCTGTGGCAGTGGGTTGCCATGGGCTACCGTGTGTAGCCAGCAGCCAGCATGAGCGGCCAGCAGCTGCTGTGAGCGGCCGTCCAGAAGCCGGCGACTGATCTGCCTCGCCCGGGAAGAGCGCAATGATGGTGCCAAGTTGGGCCAGTGAAGCAACGTCCTCCATAACTAGACTGAAGAACAAAACCACAACAACTTGTCTGTTCCCCTTCCCCCAACTCCCCAGCACTGTTCCCATCCCCCAAATTCCCCAATAAAAATCTTAAAAAAAAAAAAAAGGAACTTTGCTTAAGAGCAAGTAGAAGAAAGCACAGCTTCATAACCCAAACCAGTGCTCCACTGAAAATTACCGAACGCACTACAAGTTTGAAATACGTCTGGTGGAGAATTAATCTTTCAGCTCAACATCTTTGAGGCCTTTTCAAAAACCCCTTAAAAATATGATCTGTCACTGTATGAAGGAATTAGATATTGTGATTATATATAACAATCGAAATTTATAAATAAACTTGATGTCCATAAACCGTATGTACTTCCAATTCCAAATACATGGATCTATTTTAAAAGGTTCTTTAGATATTCTCCCTAATATTTAATTTTACAGTTACTTTCTGATGACTATTAAACTACGAATATATTTTCTCATAAAAATGTTTAGCTACATATATTCCATTATTACCAGTTTTGTTGCTGAACATTGGAATACTTTTTCTTCAGAAATCAAGATTCCTTTTTATTCACTATAAGTAATTGGATAAAAAAAAGACACAATTTATTTAAGACATGAGGGGACTTTCAAACAATGTTTAACATTAATAAACCAACACTGACTTACTGTTTTCTGATAGTTTAGAAAGACTGCATAATTATTTCCTAGATAGTTCCTTTGTAGCACTGTCCAACACAATGCCTCACACATAACAGAAGTCTGAAAAATATCTACTGAATTAATAAATAACAACTATTTAATAAAAAAATCTGATACTAACCATTTAAAAATAAGACACTAAATTACTTATTTTGCAATTTAATGCCAATCATCCCACACTTGTCATTAAAAAGTATACCTTCAAAATAATCGGAATGCTATCATCTTCCACACGTCCTCTCTCTTATTCATCAAATTGTGTATCTCCTCCATCCACCTCTGTGATCTTTATAAATGTGAGTCTTTACATTTTTTTAAAAAGTATCAATAAATTCTTTTGAAATTTTGATGAAAACTATGACCCCTCTCCCCAAAAAACACACACACAGAAATGTACACAGATTCTAGGAGTGCTTAGGCCTCCTGAAGCACAGCAATGACTCCTGGTGGTATGGATTCTGAGTGAAGAAGTCGTCTTTTACAATATATCCCCGCATGTAAGTATATCCATATTTGCATGACTGTATCTGAGACAAGTTCTATGCACACAGTATTATTCAGATAAATTCTCTTACTGCGTAAGCTCTGCTGGAGTCAACTTTTGTGAACACATCCTCCTGTTAGACTACTGGGACCTCATTTGGTTCCCTGTGGCATTAATTTACTTTATAATAGATTACCCACACACTGGAAATTCAAATTTAATTATAACAAACTCCCTTAAGTGGTAGAGGTGAGAAGAAAGCAAAGCAACAGAAAGAAAAAAAAAAAAAGCAGCTAGAAAGAGGTGGTAATGGGAAGACAGGTGCTCCAAAGAGGGGTGCCAGTGTATGAAAAGAAAGACGCTGAAGATATACTTAATTTACTTTATAATTTTTGTCAGACTCCAACAATCGCTATCATTTTAACTAACTGAGGCAAAGGAAAATAAATATGAATCAGTGAAAAAAAGCCCTACAAAATAAAGGAACAACGAAATCTCTACAGTGGCTTGCTCCATCCTCTAGGAGCTACCGATGGAACAGAGTTGCAGATAAGCCACTAAAGAGATTCATAAAGGATGGAGAAAAGTGTTGTCAACAGAACCAACCAATTTCCAAAGCATCTGATATCTTGAGAGTAGCTGGATTTTTATTTCCAAAGACAAACCACTCAAGCTGCAACTTGTAGATAAAACTTTCTGAAGTTTCAAAGTGGACTTTCGCATTAAGGAATACAGGCTCCTCTCTTCCATGTCACAAAAATAAATCTTGAAAATATTCATCAAATTCGTCTTCCCTATTTAAAATAAAAGGTATATATATTGATTATATCAACAATCAGAGAAAAAACTTACTAGGTGACACATCACAAGATTAATGAAAATATTTTAATTCAATATAGTTCCTGATTCTTCTATATATCAACATATTTCACGATTCAGCCATCAAATAATTCTTAGCTTCTAGAATGATAACTATACCCAGACTGATTAAAATTAAAATGTTTTGTATGCTGGAACCTCTCCCTAAATGTATTTATTACCTAAGATTTTACTTCAAAGTATTTTGTAAAATATTATTGCTTCTTTACTTTTTGGGTTGACTTTATAACTTCTCTGTTCAAGAGGAAAAACTGATGGTTGCTAGATGGGACGGGGGATGGGAATGAGGGAGAAGGGGAAGGGACAAGACAACATAAACTGGTAACTACAATATTGCCTCAGGGATAGAAAAGACAGTTTGCGGAATATAATCATTAATGTTATAAATATTCTTTAGGGGGCCAGATGGACTCATGTCTTGTTAGGGAGACCACTTCATGGACGGTGTAGAGGCCTGACCATTGGCTGCACTGTACATCTGAAGCTGCCATTGAATAATATTATGTATCAACTATAATTTAATACATATATAGTCATGGGATGTGCAGTATAGTGTAGGAATGGAGTCAATGGAATTGTAATAGATATGTATGATATCGGTGGTGGGAGGGCAGTGTATGGGCGGAGGGGGGTTGTCACTTTGTGAGGAGTGAAAAGGATAACTATTGCTTTGTTTTGTACACCTGAAACTAATAATAATAATAAAAAAATAACTTCTCTGTTTATTCTCATATCAAATTCCAGTCTGATTAAGAAATGAATGAAAAAGAAACTATTTTAAGGAAAAATACAAGTCTTATTCCTAGGAATAGGGAAAATCTGCTTAGGCTATAAGTTTTTCTCACTAAGAGAATAGTAAATATGTAACTGTAGCAGTAAAGATTATGTCTAAAACAAAGACTAGAACTCTGAAAAGAGATATTAATTTATAATATAATGTGTTAAAATACTATGAAAATTGCTAAGTAAGTATTAAATAAAAATTAATGCTAGGAGCCAGAGTGGTACAGTGGAAATGGCACAGGTTTTCAAGTCAGGCCGTGTTTAAGTCCTAGCTCTGTCACTTATTAGCTGGGTGAGCAGGTTACTTAACTTCTCTGGAATCAGGGTTTTGTTTTTTGGGGATTTTTTTTCCTGTGAAATGGAGGACATTACATTTCTTCATGGAGTTGCTGTAAAGATTAAATGTATGCACAGTTGCTTTTCTTCCTTCTGGGAACAGGGAATCAAGCTGGACAGTCAAATTCAGTCTACCAGTATCTTTAGAAAATGCTCTTTTAGATCAGAGATTCACAATGGGATTCCATCATTTGGTTTTAAATAATTGTGAATACATGAAGGCATCACAACCATGTTCAAATTGCAAAAATATTAATTACAGAATCAAGTAAAGTTGATTTAAGAATTATCTGCAATTTGGTATTCTCCATGCTACGGTCCCTTTTCCCTAGCATGACAGCAAAACGTAGAATTTTTTAAATTGCATTAAGAACTTAAATATATAAAATTAGCTGAATAACTGTGTGGACTCAGATGTTCAGTACCTGATCAATGTCAAGTTTTTATAAGGTCACAAAGAGTTTTGGATTATGACAGCCTTCTTAGGATTTACTCATGTATCTAGGACATAGAGATGGCTCCATAGAGTTGACTCTAAGACCTATTCTGTCATTTACAGCTGTAAAGCTATTCAAGGGGAAGTTATATGGTTGAAAGTTTAGTCAATAATTTAAGCAAAATTTTATTTACAACAATAGTATTTTAATAATGTGATGTATAATGACCACACATTTGGGAATTCTTTGGCTAAAAAAAATAAAATAAGAAAGGTTAAAGGTCACAGAAAAAGTAATCTTGTTAAAAAAAACCTCTTTCCAGCACACTTGAATTCTATTATATTGAGAACATATATAATTAGCAATATGTTATATAATCAGCTTAAATTAGTGAAGCATAACTGATTTAATAGGTCTCTTTCTATTATGAACCAACATGACTAGGGACTAACAAAATGGGACTAAAATTTATTTGAACACTTACTATAAAGTTATAGGTTTTATACCAGGTGCTTTATATTCTTTATTTCATTAAACTTTCATAAACTCTATGCAGTAGGTATTCTTTTATCCTCTTTTAACAGATAAAGTTCAAGTGGTGAACATCCCAGTATGTGACAAGAACTGCTAACATTCCAGCCCATATCCAGACAGCTCTTCCAACCCATAGCAGAGAACAATGCATGCATTGAGTTATCTGTCTTTGGGGGCTAAGGTGGGTATTGGCAAGTAAATTTTTACACCTGTATATATCTTCAAGAAGATCCCCTGTACAGGTTAATGATAATCAGAATGTCGTGGATACACTGCTCTGGAAGCTAGTAAATAACCCTTTTCTAAAGGAATTTAAGCAAAAACCAGAAGGTTATCTGTTAAGGTGAGCTAAGGAAAGATTTACTCACCAAGAAGAAACTGGATATTTATGGCCACAAACAATGGCTGGAGATAAACTCTGCTCTTAGGCTAGGTGGTCCTTGGCATTAAACACACATTCATGACAGTGAGTTTTTTCACTAACCGTTATTAAGAATGACTGTCGTCACAGCTTCCTACAGTGATGTAATGGGCATGTATTATCTATTTATACAAGGACTTACTGTGATTTTTCATCAGTCTCTGGTAGTGGGCCTTTCCAAAGTTCAGATTCTGAAGTACTTTCTTCCTCATCAGAGCTTCCTGTTCATTTAAGAGACTTTTTTTAAATGCGAGTATTATAGGTAAAACACATTTTGAACTACCCACCAATGCAATTAAATTAACTTCAGATTTAACTGCAGTTTAACTTCAACTTTCATGGCTCTCTGAAAATGTAATTTACTCTACCAGACCAATAAATTCTTTTTAAAAGTAAATAAATAAGCTGAGATATACCAAAGAGCCTCAGGAGAAAGATCAAGGATATAAAGTCTCATGGAAAACTTCTCTAAGTTACACTGAGTTAAAGTAGCAATTCCAAAATGATCTTTTGCAATATATGTGGTTTTCTTTTATTTCGTTTCTTATTTTTATCAGTCATACAAAAGACATTCAGGTTAAGGGTTCAGTAGAGAGTATATTTACATTAGAATCAAGACCTTAAGAACTGAAGTAATAGGTAGGAACACCTAGTTATGAAAAAAATTTGTCAGACATTTAAAAAAATTATATTAATTACGTTAATTAGAAGAGGCCTGCTGCAGTGAAGAAACAGGCCTCGTCATACATTTTTAGGAGTAAAAATTCTGTAAACTTTTTCTTGAGGAAAATCTGGCAATATAGATCAGTTTAGAATGTACATACCCTTTGACCAGCAATGCTGTTTTTAGGAATTTAACTGTTTACTTAAATAAGCACTTCAGATATGTGTACAAAGATGTTCACCGTATAATAACAACAAACGAAAACAAGCTAAATCCCTCCCAATTAGGGATTAAGGATTGGTTAAATAAATACTATACAACTGTTTAAAAAAACAACCTTAGCATGTCTATATGTATTATCATGGAAAGATATCCATGCTATATCAAAATTTTTAAAAGTTACAGAAAGCATGCACAGTATAATCTGATTTATGATTAAAACATTACATATATGCAGATATATAGTATTATATATGTGTGTATGTATATATGTATGTATTATAAGTTTATAAGGACCAACCAAACTTAATAGTGATTACTTGCGGACCTAGGATACTTTTACTTTCTACTTTAAGCATTTCCAATATTTTTTTTTGTATTTTAAACAATGATCATGTATTATCTTTAAAAATCCATAAAACATATACTTCTATTTAAAAAATATAACAAAATAGACATGTTTCCAATGAATCACCCTATATTAATTACTCAACTAAAAATGATCAAATACTGAAAAATGGATTATGAGGCAATAAAATTATATGCCACAAAGTAATTACATTAGCAAATAATTCCTGTTTGATAATGGCCATTAGTCTAAAAAAACTGACACAAATTTGGCCAGTCAATACAGAATGTCAGTAACAGAATGTCCCTTGGTTAAACACAACACAAAAATGAAACAGCTGTGATTTGTCACAGTGGTTCTAGCCTTTTACCTGTTGGACTTGGATCCTTGAATCAACATGCATGTCTGAACTTTGGTACTGATCCTATTCTGGCACAAATGCTAACAAAAAGTGGCCAAAAAGGGAGGGGGGTTGTATTTCTAATGATCTACATACAAAGATGATAAAAATACAAAGCCTCGGGAACAAGATTCTGCTCAATGACAGCCAGTGTCCCAACTGAATATGCGAGAACAAAGAATTACTAAGTCTTCTACTCTTATTTTTATGAAAAAGAAGGCACACAAAAACTAATCAGGCCTACTAAAGTTATCACTATGGTATCACCCTGTTCATGATGTCAGAGAACAAAACCTACAATGCTTTGGAAGTGGGCAGCTAATTTCAAAAGACCTTACAATCAGCTGCTCTCTTGTTCCCTCTCAAGAGTACTTCCACATGCCAGTTTTCCTACACCAGTTTTCTGATACCAGACAATCAAGTTTTTCTAAAAAACCAGATCAGTTTATAATAACATTATAAAATAACTCTCTTTGAAAGAGCACATGCTGAAAAAGTGGCCAAATATCCTTAGAGAATCAAATCTCCAAGACTGGACTACATGACCTTTACGGTCCCTTACAACCCTATGAATCTGTAATATTCTAGTTCCCTGAAGGTGACAGTAACTACTACAAATCATTCTTATCACTGTTACAACCTGCCAGAGGTAGGAGGGGTGCTGCTAAAGAAACAGCAGTTAGTAGAATGGAGAATACAAAATGATGCTCTTGCAACAGTTTCAAATCTATGCAGTGATTATTGGCAAGTGGGGACCAGATTTTAAGTCACTGACTCTGTGTTGGAAGGGGATCATGGAGGTCTTTAATCAAACACTTATCCAATGAATGTATCTCTTAAACCCGGATAACAAGTGGCTGTCCAATCTATGCTTGAACACCTCACTACTTCCTTAAGTAGTCCATTGCCCCCATTCTTTTCTTCAGATAGTCCCAACTGATTTAAGTTTTTCCATAAATTAAGGCAAAAATCTGTCCTCGGGCAATTCTTATTCATAGGCTCTTCTAGTTCTGCCAACCAGGCACCTGTCAGGGCCCAGGGCAGGTTGCCCCAAAATATGCCACAATGGAATACAGATTATTTTGAATTACAGTTACTTAGGAAGCTGCCAGTGAAAGAACACTCTGGCCTCTCTGGCCTGCCAAAAAGCTCCTTAACCCTCCTTACCCCTTCCCTCTCATCCCTTTACTTTTCCCAAACTAAATATCAACAGTTCCTTCAACCGTCTTTGTATGACACAATTTCAAGTTCTGTCAACACCTTGGTTTTTCTAGTCTCAATCTGTTTTAAGTTTGCAATGTTCTTTTTAGCATGTGATGCGAACTGCATACAATTTTCTCTACATGTTTGGAATAATAAAAGCAGGTCTATCATCTTGATTTTTCTGGATATTATATGATACCTAAATAATTTGGTCTACTGTAGAAGTGGCAAGTTCCAATTATGATAACAAATCAACAGGTCAGATTTTACAGACTTAATTTTTTATTTGACCAGTTCTAAAGAACAAAGCAAGAACTTACATTGGGGTAAAGACAGTCTTTGATAAATGGTGCTGGGAAAACTGGTCAGATACATGCAAAAAATGACTGGATTGCCTTCTTACACAGTACATAAGAATAAAACTCAAAATGGATTAAAGACTTAAATGTAAGACACGAAACCATAAAACTCCTAGAAGAAAACATAGGAAGTAAACTCTCAGATATTACCCTTCATAATATTTTTTCTGATCTCCTTAGGCAAGGAAAACAACAGAAAAAATAAATAAATGGTACTACATCAAACTAAATGTTTTCTCACAGCAAAGGAAATCATCAACCAAACAAAAAGACATCCTACTGACTGAGAGAAGATATTTGCCAATGATACATCTGATAAGGAATTAATATTTAAAATGTTTATATATATATATATATATATATAACTCACACAACTCAACAACAAACAAACAATCCAATTAAAAAATAAGCAGAGGACCTGCGCAGCCAGACAACTCTGTTGGTAAGAACGCGAGCTCTGAACAACAGGGCTGCCAGTTCGATTCCCACATGGGCCAGTAAGCTGCGCCTGTAAGCCACGCCCTCTACAGCTAAGATTGTGAATAACCGCTCAACCTGGAGCTGGGCTGCCATGAGTGGCCAGCAGCTGCCGTGGGCTGCTGTGAGCGGCCGGTGGCCAGCATGAGTGGCTGACAGCCAGTGAGAGCTACTGTGAGCCGCTGGCCATTTGGCCGGCGACCAACTGCCTCAGCCGGGTGGAACGCAATGATCATAATACCAGCGTGGGCCAGTGAGCTGCATCCTCCACAACTAGACTAACTCAGAGGTGGGGGAGGGGGGGAGGGTGAGGGCGGAGGGGATAAGCAGAGGACCTGAGTAGACTTTTCTCCAAAAAGGACATACGGATGGCCAATGGACATATGAAAGGATGCTCAATGTCACTAATCATCAGAGAAATGCAAATAAAAACCACAGTTAGATATCACCTCACTCCTGTCAGGATGGCTATTGTCAATAAATCAACAAACAAGTGTTGGTGAGGATATGAAAAGAAAAGAGAACCCTGGGCCGGCCAAGTGGCGCGATGGTTAAGAACTCGCTTGGGATGCCAGAGGGCCCTGGTTCAGATCCCACATATGAGGGCCAGTGACACTGCCCTCCACAGCTGAGATGCTGAACAACAGCTCAACCTGGAGCTGGGCTGCCGTGAGTCGCCGGCAACGGCGTGGGCTGCAGTCCCTGTGGCAGTGGATTGCCATGGGCTACCGTGTGTGGCCAGCAGCCAGCGTGAGTGGCCAGCAGCCGCAGTGAGCGGCCATCCAGAAGCCGGCGACTGATCTGCCTCGCCAGAGAAGAGCGCAATGATGGTGCCAACTTGGGCCAGTGAAGCAACATCCTCCACAACTAGATTGAAGAACCAAAACGACAGCAACTTGTCTGTTCCCCTTCCCCCAACTCCCCAGCACTGTTCCCATCCCCCCAATTCCCCAATAAAAAATCTTAAAAAAAAAAAAAAGAAAAGAAAAGAGAACCCTGGTGCACTGTTGGTGGGATTGCAAATTGGTGCAGCCACTATAGAAAATAGTATAAAGGTTCCTCAAAAAATTAAAAATAGACCCAACAATTCCACTCCTGGGTATTTACCCAAAGAAATCTAAAACACTAATTCAAAAAAATATATGCGCCCCTATGTCTATTGCAATGCTACTCACAACAGCCAAGACATGGAAACAATCCAAGTGCCCATCAATAGATGATTAGATAAAGAAGAAGTGGTAAATATATACAATGGAGTATTACTCTGCCATAAAAAAGAATGAAATCTTACCATTTGCAACAACATGGATGGACCTAGAGAACATTATGCTAAGTGAAATAAGTCAGACTGAGAAAGACAAATACCACATGAGCTCGCTTATATGTGGGATCTAAAGAACTGAATAAGTGAATAAACAAAACAGATACAGGCTCATAGATACAGAGAACTGATGGTTGCTAAAAAGGAGGGAGGGAGAGGGGATAGGTGAAAAAGGTGAAAGAGAATAAGAGGTACAAGCTTCTAGTTATAAAATAAATAAGTCACAGGGAGGTAAATTACAGTTTGGGGCACAGGGCTTGGGGGGATGGATGAGAAAGGTGAAGGGAATAGGAAGTACAAAATGGTAGTCACAAAACAGTCGTGGGGATGCGAAATACCGCATGGGGAATACAGTCACTAGTGTTGTAAAAACTACGCATGGTGTCAGGTGGGTACTAGACTTATTGGGGGGATCACTTCATAAATTATACTGGGTTGTTGGAAAAGTCATGACGTATTTTTTCTATGTTTTTCGTTGCAAAAATGCGTCATGACTTTTCCGACAACCCAATATAAATGCCTAACCACTGTGCTGTACACCTGAAACTAATATAAAATAATATTAAATGTCAACTATAATTAAATATATATATATAATATATATAATCACAGGATGTAAAGTACAGCCTAGGGAATATAGTCAACGATATTGTAATAGCTATGTAGGGTGTCAAAGGAGTAGCAGACTTATTGGGGTTATCACTATGTGAGGTGTATAAATGTCTAATCATTATGTTGTTTTGTACACCTGAAACCAGTAATAATTTAAAAATGAAGTAAAAAGGAAGAAAACAAACCAAGCTAAAGGTGCTTCAGTTTGGGTACCATGTTCTTCCCTCCCTACGACTAGAAGTCTGAGCTGCCTGAGCAAAGGGAAAGAGACTTCGGGCTATTTCTGGGAGATGGAAGAGGATCAAGAGGGCTGGAGGGAGGACAGCAGAGGGGAGAAGGAAGAGTAAATGAAAGAATGACTATAAATGAGGAAGTCAAGACCTTTCCCCAAAGATATTTTAATAATGAAAAATTTGGAACTGGAAAAGGGCAATGTTTTTTTTTTCTCTCTACACTAAATAAGCCTTCACACCTCTCACTGCCATGTATTGTTGGAAATGGATAAAAACTAAAATAAAATTTTTCACTTTAACCTGTGTATGCTTTTAAAAACTATATATATTTGCTACTTCATCCCCAGATGGCATAAGTCTATCAGTCTCATGACTGGCTATGTTCTAGACACTGTCACTATACTTCACCTAATTTAGAAGGAGCTGCTTGCTGATAAATGAGGACTCACATGAGGAAAAAGGAAGTGCCAGTGCTTTAAGACACTTCAAATATGCTGAAAACAAAATTGGTATGAGCAAAATAATTTATAAGGAATATGTTATATTCCCAAACTAGTTGAATGCTTCCACTGATAATTCCCTCTTCATTAAGATTTTAAACAGTAAATATCTTAAAATTTAGATTTTACTATTTTCTCAGTACAAAATTTATGATTACTGAACACTTAAAAATTCTCCTTAAGAACTATACTAAAATGCTAATAATGTTTATATTTGAATGGTGGGATTTGGAGTAATTACTAAAATTTTTCCTCAGTTTGCTACAGTAAATATATATTACTGTAAAATTAGAAAAAATATGTTTATAAATTTCAAAATTTCTAATATAATAAGTCCAGACATTATAAAATGAATTAGATATGATGCTGTTGAATTACACTTTATTGTTAGGCCCTAAGCCCATGCAAGGTCTTTAAGAAATTCAACTTCTATTACTGTTTGCTGTATCACAAGTGGATGGCCCCTCTTATGAACCCACAGGAGATTCTATTCTCAAAACTCTGCCTGGAAAAAGCAAAAAGCCTGCGAGTTCTCTTTATTATCATATGGGTATAATTAATCATTCTACTGGTAGCTTCATTTTTTGGTTTGGTTGTTAGGAAGAACAGTGATAAATTTGTGGTCTACCTTTGCTATTATGCAGGACTTTTCGGTAAACATTTTTCTGTATTAATTTACCTTTAGGTTTAGTGTGTGATTCTATCTTCTATCTTACTTTTCAATTATTCTAAGTGAAAAAAAATCTTACTTTATTGTAACTATTTTTGTAGGTTATTGTGAATACTTTTTGGAATATTGCCGGAAAAACAATAAAATTTATAGCAAATATTCAATAAAATCAAATCTGCTCTGATCCAATCTTGTGAAAACCACAGGACTTATTTAAAAACTAACCAGTAGCAACCAGTTGCCAACATTTACTTTCCATGTACAAACCACATACTTCCTTTAATTAATCAAAATCACCAAAATGACAGAGATAATTCAGTCACATGCAATATAAGCAATATTTCTTAAATCTTAATCCACTTCCCCAAATCAGATTTTTCCATTCCAACCTCATCCCTGTATCTCCTTCTTCATCTTCTATAATGTAAAATTGAAATGTGTACCTATTGTATCCACCGAAAAAAATTTTTACGCTCTTCTATACTTAAAAAAAGAAACTTTTAAATGTTCTGAATTGGGGAAGAAATCATACATGTCAAGTCTTTTTTCTATGATTTTTCTCACATAGCATAAAAACAAAAAATAATTTACATCAGGGCAAGTCACAATTCATGGGAAGCCCAAACTGCAAATAAGTTGAATCTATATATTTTTATTAAAGAAATACTTGATACTTACTGTTTGCAGAGTTTTCTGATTTCTTTGAGGATGAATGTCCTGAAAAGGAAACAGCATTGATTTGTAAGAATCATCTTGCAGTGGTCCAACAGCTGTAGCTGTAACCAGAATTGTTCCCAATAGCTGAGTTTACTTTATAGTATTACAGAAAAGCATTCACTGTCTCCTAATCTTTCGTGTTTCTTAGACATCTCTCCCTAACTAAAATGTTAGATTCTTTTAAGCAGGGGTATTTTATACTGTTGTATGGCCTCGGATACCTAGCACAAAGCTTAAAAAATAACAAGTGTCTGTAAAATAATTTCATGTTATTAAAAGAAACAAAGAATAAACCAACCCATACATTAGCTATAATATAACCAATACTTTATCTAAAGAGATGTTCAATATCTGAAAGCAGTTTACAAATACTCTTTTTTCACCATACTTTTTCAAAGATTATTTACAGGTGAGAATTAGTAATCAGTAACTGAAAATCACACACACAATTATGTCATAAAACAAATTCAGTTCTACAATGGTTATCCCGTGAAGGAAATGGAAAGAGAAAAATACTGAAGTTTTATTAATATAATTTTTAAAACCATCACTATATACAGTCTCCTGCAATAAGACCTCAGGGGAAATATTTCTGAAGGTAGCTAAATAAAAAAAAAAGGACAAATAATAGATGGAGAGTAACAATTCTTCCAACCTCCCTGGACAGGAGGGCTTATAAACCAAAATTGTTGCATGAATTGTTGCATGAATGGCCTTTAAGGCCAGACAAAGAGGATGCGAGAACTACAGCGGAAAAAAGAAAGCCAAGGCCTGGCTGGACTGCAGTGACTGCTTTATGTTAATTGTCTCTTCACGCCTCCTTATTTCCTAGTCATCAGACAGCAAATAAAAACATAGCTAAGTTTCTGGTGGCAAAAGAAATGTATTCTTCTTTCATATGAGGAACATGACATCTACTTCCAAATGTCTACAAGTAAAAAAAGGTTAGACTTACTGTAGAGGACTAAGAACATAATTGGAACCAAAGGCAAGAAGTTGTAGGTTTGAGCTAAATGTTAACAGAAACCTGCTAGTGGGGCCGGCCGTGTGGCTCAGTTGGTTAAGAGCTCGCTCAAGAGTTTGAGCTCTGAGCAACAGCGGTTCAATGCTCAGCCCGAGCTGAGCTGCCAACAGGTGGCAAGATGGCTCAGCTTAAAAAAAAAAAAAAAAAAAACACTTAAAAAAAAAAAAAGAGAAACCTGATAGCAATTACAACTATCTGAAATGTAAAGGAGTACTTTGGATAGTAATGGGTTCCTTTTCCCTGGAGGTGTTCAAGCAAAAGCAGAATACGTATAGAGTTTCTCAAACTTTACTGTCCACATAAATTATCTCAGGAACTTATTAAAGTGCAATACAAGAGATCTGGAAGGGTCTGAAATTGTGCATCTAACAAGATCCCAAGTGATGACAATGCCAGAGAGCATTACTTTGAAAAGCAAAACCATATTATACCTTTTCGATTATGATTTCAGGGCTGACATCTCTTGATGTTCCTCTCAACATTGAGAAACTGGTTGAAATTTACTGATTGACTCACTCATCTAACATTTACTGAATGCCTACTACATGGAGCAAGCACTGTGCTTAGGAATTAGAGACAATCAAACAAGTCACAGTCCCTTCCTTAAAAGAAAATAAGCAAATTACTCCAAGGGTGATATGTATTCCCAGAGGTACAGGTTGTTATTGGTATGTGTAACAGGGACCTAACCTCGCCTGCGGAAGTGAGGTGAAGAGTGTCAGGAAAGGTCTTCCCAAGGAACTGAGTGTGGGAATGGGGTGTGGTGGGAAGGGTGACACCCTGAACTTTCTGTCAAAATAGTCTGCCTAAGTACCTTGTTCTGCTCATGCCTGCCAAAGCAGACGGTCCTCAAAGTCAAGCTACTGATCTGCCTTTCTTACATTTTTCCTCGAGCCATTTGTTCAGCCATCTAGTCCTATCCAATTATCTGTCCGTCCGTCCGTCCATCCATCCATCCATCCATCCATCCCTCCATCCATTCATCCATCCATCCACTTATTTAGCATTTTGTATGATAGTAACCTAAAGCTATGTGAGTAGATGGGATCACACAGTGAAAGGAAAGAGAGAAGGAAAGTCCTATAATAGCCTACACCTAAGAGTAAGGTTGGGGAGAAACTATAGTTTAAAATGGTGAGGAAAGGCCAGAAGACAGAAAGAAAATCAGGAACGTAGATTGTTTTGAGAAGGGTCAACAGTCCAAATGCAGCTATTAAACAGTTATTAATTACTATTCAAACTTGGGCCAAATTAAGACAGTCTGGCAAGAAAGTATCATATCAAGATCAACCCAGATAATCCCAGGTAAGATATTAAAGAATTCCACATGGTTTTCCTGTAAGTTTGCTAAATTGTCATTTTCTGCTTTATACCACAGAAGTAGAAAAAAAAGAACTATATCCTGTACTCTCGGCTATCAAAACTACTCTAAATAAATAAATAAGAAAAAGATGTCTTAATTCCACTCTATCCCCGAAGTTGCCCTGAAACAATCTTCAAAGTCTTTCATTTTCTCATTCTTTATTATTTATGCCTAACATGTGCTAATGAGGTGCTGGGAATATATCAATGAACAAAACACAGAATTTCTGTCCTCCTTGGGCTTTTATGTAATTGTCATATGTGCAGTAAAGGAAAAGATCCAGGGCTGCGACAGTGTAGCATAAATGGGAGTCCCAATTTAGATCCATGGTCAGCTATGGAGTCAGAAAAGGATCCCTGAGGAAGTGACATTTAAGCTTAGATCTGAAGGATGAGTTAGGACAGGACTGGGGACTTTAGGAAGAGAGGAAGCAGTATCTATGTAGTCCCTAAAACAAAAGAAGTTTGGCATTTCTAGAAACTGAAAGGCTATGTGGGTGGAGTGTGAAAGTGAGGTGGAGAATGGTAAGAAACAAGCCTTGTATGCCAGATCATACACAGCCTTTGGGCTTTGTCCAGGATTTTGGTTATTATCCTAAGAACAACAGGATATCATTGCTTTATGGTAAATAGAGTAAGGGGAGGGAAGGTGGGATGTCAAGCAGTGAAAGAAGCAGTAGCCTAGATGAGAAAACAGTGGTTTGAACTAGGGTGGAGAGAACTTGAGAAATATATACTCTAGGGATAAAATTGATAGGATTTGGTGAAAAGTTAAATAACGAGAAAAAAGAACACATCAAGGATAATTCCCAGGTTTCTGATATTACTTTTTAGGTTGACAGAGATGTCATCTACTGAAATATGGACACTAAAGGAAAAATATCTATAAGGAAGATCACATGCATATGTATGTATAATCTGAGGGGTCTAACCCCATCCCTGATCCCTGGTATCCAGCTACCTAATTACCTGTTTTGAAGGTACTGAATAAACTTTTACAAGGTAGGGATTAGTTCTTTAATTTAAAATATGTAGTGATTAATACACTATCATACTATCATATGAATGCAACAATATTATGTAATATAATAAAGAATGCAACAAAATTCTCAAATACGATATATTAAATATTTTACTGGCACATGAGGATAAATATTTTCAAAAACTCAAATGAGATTTTTCATACTTACTGAAATTTATTTTGGAGTTTGGAGTTAGGAAATGATTAAGATAGAGACAAAAAGGCAGTCTGCTTCAAATACCATTTCTCAGTAAGCAATAGAAAAATCGTAGTTTCCACTCACCATCTATCAATTTTACCAAGTCTAAAACTTGGTGATACATAATATGCTTAACTGTATCATGATATGCCAAGAAGGAAAAATATGCATGTAAGAATGTAACATGTCTAATGATCTTTATATCTGGAGCAAGGGAGCCCTCTCTTGTCCAAGTATTATGTTAACATTGACCTGAATCTAATTCAATCTATAATACCATTATCTAACTAATTTAAGTCTGATTCACTCTAAGTTATAGCCAATCTGACTCTATTACAGACTGAAAAAGTAACTAGCTAACTTCATAATAATAGCTAACTATGTGGCAAGTACTATGCAAAATGCTTAACTCATTTCAACTTCTGAACAATCTTATGAGTTAGTTACTATTATCATGACCATTTTACACATGAAGAAATGAAGACTTAGAAAGCTTAAGGACTGCTAAGGAAGAAGTGGCTGACTGATGGATTTAAATAATTATTTACTAAGTAAAGAACCATGCTAGGTTCTGAGGACACATTATATCAATTTCTTATCATTTCAAGAAGCTCATAAACTAGTGAAAAATCAGACTATAATAATTGAAATCAGTATTATAATTTTATACTGACTTATAGGTTACATACTGTTTTAGTGTTCAAATGTTTTTCACATTCTTATTTGATTCTCTGCAATAAGCTCAAGCAATACAGAGGTCAGCTATTCACATCACCCCTACTTACATAAGGAAAGGAAAGCTCAAGAAGTTCAGTGACTCACTCAAGGTAACAAGTCTTTAAGTGACAAAGCCAGAAATTAGAAGCTGTTTGCAATATTATACCATCTGCCAAAAATGAATCAAAGCCAACTTTGTTTTTGAAACTCCTGTAAGTTACTATAAGTTCACATCTAAATTCTCCAACCAGATTCCTTTCAACTACTATAAAACAGAATTCTTAATATATATTCACCAATTAAATTCTAGATTTGAAACATGGCAGATTGCACTTCATGTTCAGAAATGTGAGTAGATATTATATCTTAATTCCCTTTTACCTTTATCCTTTTTCTTAGAGGTCTCTTCTGCAGAAGATAATCTGGATTTTTTATGGGATGACTCTTCACAGCCTTTTTTGATTTTTTCCTTTCTTTTTTTTGCCTTGACTTCTTTTCTCCTTTATGTTGAACAATATAAAATTAAAGTTAACTTTTTTCAACTGACCTTTATAACAAAATAAAACCAATGAATAAAAAAAAAATCAAATCAGTTAAAAGTACTTATTTTTAAAATGTAATTTACATAATCAGGAACCATTAAGTGAGTCTGTAAATATTTTAGGTTAGTATATTAAGACAATTCTGTAAAATAATGAAGCCTAAACACTGAGACAAAGAATTACCGTATTTGCCGGCGTATAAGACGACTGGGCGTATAAGACGACCCCCTAACATTTCCACTCAAAATACAGAGTTTGTTATATACTCGCCGTATAAGACTACCCCCTCTTCCGCACACCTTCTACACACCAAATAAAAGGTAAAACAATATCAGATTTGATTTGGCCCACTGAAGTGCAAACAAGCGTATTGTATTTCGTGTCACCACATAACCGTTTTGGCGATGTTGAGCCACCATGTCTGCTACATGTTTTTCGAGTTCTGGCCAGTGTGGGGTGCCTCTTCTTAATGCACACTTACCCCTTGGCATACTCTTTAATGCTTTCTCATTTGATTTCCAGTCCCGAACCATCTTTTCTGTTACTCCATATTGTCTTGCAGCAGCACAATTATTATTTTCCTTAGCAAAGTTTATAACTTTCAGTTTAAAATTTGCATCATACTTCTTTCTTTTGGCTGGTGCCATGATAGGGATGATAGGGGTTTGACTGGTCGACATTTTCTATGCTGTACTGTACAATGGTGCAGTATTGTGGTTGGCTGTTGGCTGTATACAAAGCCTGATTTGATTGGTCCCTGCTCCCTGTTTGCCCGACCTGTCACTATAGCAGTCTGGTCCACCCTTGCATCAGCATCTCCCTGGGACCTCACTAGTGCGCAAGTGCGAGCTCTTCAACATTCTAACAGGCACCATGATAGCGCAAAATCACGAATCTTCAATGCATAATATGTAAAGAAATATACGGTAACCCGAATTACCACACTCGCAAAATTGCACACAGCCGACCATACACCCAGTATGGTATCGCGATTTTGCGCTATCATACTGGGTGTATGGTCGGCTGTGTGTGATTTTGCGAGTGTGGTAAAATCGCATAACAGCCGAGCATACACCCAGCAGCGCTGCTGATGCCTGAATGGTATGTGGAATGAAGTGGGCGGGCATCGGGAGGCCACTATGGCACGGGGCAAGCACTATGGGCAGTCTATCTGAAGTGTACCTGGCGTATAAGACGACCCCCCACTTGGAGGCATATTTTTCAGGGCCAAAAAATCGTCTTATACGCCGGCAAATACGGTATTTTTTATAAGTCCTGTATACAAACTTTAGTAAATATAAATCATAGTTTTACTCATTTCTTCCTTTTTATATTCTATCTTTTAGCCATTATAATCAACAAACGAACGAACAAAAAACTCACAGATACAGACAACAGAATGATGATTACCAGAGGGAAAGTGGGGTGGGGAGAGGACAAAGAGGGTCAAATACAAGGTGGGAGAGAAAGACACTAGACTTCAGGTGGTGATCACATCAACAGAGTATAATAGATACTGTATTATAAAGCTGTACAAATGAAATTTATGTATTATTAACCAATATTATCTCAATACATTTAATTAAAAATAAAGAAAAATGGTTAAAATATATATACAAGAAAATTACAAAAACAAATCTCATTTCCTTCCTCATAATTCCTATCTACCTACACTTTGAAAAAACACATACAAGAAGAAACCACTGCAATAGTTCTAAACCACCAGTAGATAAATAATTCTTCTCTTAAGAATAAAGGAATATAGTCACAATATTATGAAGGCTTTTTTTTTTTTTTTTAAAGCTGAGCCATCCTTCCACCTGTTGGCAGCTCAGCTCAGGCCAGGAATCAAACTGTTGTTGATCAGAGCTCAAACTCTTGAGCGAGCTCTTAACCAACTGAGCCACTTGGCCAGACCCTAGTCACAATATTATGGAATGAGGGTGGAATGGCTTCTTGTTAACTCATATGTCTACTTTAGACCATTTACCCTTTTACTGTGTAGCGTTCTCTCTTTTAGGCCAGGTTTACAAGGTTATCATGCTTGACAAGCAACTGATTTTAATTGGTTAAAAAACAAATACTAAATAGGAAAAGGTGATAATGCTGAAACAGGGAAGGAAAATGAAGACACAACAGAGAATATTACTTTCAAGGGACTTCCAAATTAAGGTACTTGTGCCAAATGCTATACTATATAAGACAGTGACCACTTTTTTTCTTTCATAGGAATCATTTCAATTGTAAAATGAAGCTTAAAAGTCAAGGCCAGATAAACCATCTGGCATTGTTCAGTATTACTGATGGAGCGTGAAAATAAAGGTTTAGGCTGCTCAAATCTAAAAAATTCTGCTAATTTTAAAAATTAAAAAAGTATTATTTAATATTTATTTTCAATAGCTAAAATACTTAGTAGGGCACATTTATAACAACTGACTTCAAAATTAATAATACTAACACATTTTATCAAGTTGCAGAATCTTACTTTTAACTGTTATTCAGGACATGAAACCTGACCACCATAATCATGACAGGTGACACAGATTTTGCCGGAATATCTTTGGTGTGAAGGCTCCGCTATGCTTGATTTACCACACGCTAGGCACTGTTGTCAAGCATGTTCATTTATTTCCACAATAACCTCGGTGTCCTCATTTTTAGAGATCATAAAATTGAGTCTTACAGTGCTTAAGTAGCTTGTCCAAGAAGATAACTAGTAAGGGGAGTAGCTGAGAGGACTACACGGGGGTCTGGTTTCAAAGTCCATGATCCTATATACACTGCACATCACAGAACACTGATACCCTTCCCCAACTCAATATGCAGACACATTCTAGCTCATTCAACTGGAGCCTGATTTTAACATCTGAAATGAATAGAGGTGTATAATTCTTTTTAAGAATGACAAACTTCAATTAAAATACTGCTTTATAATACAGTATCTAAGAATATTATGGTATCTGAACACTGGCTCCAAACTAAAAATTCTAGCATCTATCTACCACCCTGCACAGCCTTCATATTAAAGTTGCCTGGCTAGATTAAGGCATGGTGAACTTCCAGTTCCCTCATTTATGTGGTCATACAGTAATGCCAGATATTCTACATAAATCAACTAATTCAACCACCAACCACTCCAGTCTACATTTAGACAACCAGTGCAGGTAAGTGACTATATCCAAGGTTACTAAATACTAAACATCAACAATAGCATTTTGAAAGATAATATTACCTGTGATGGAAATTTAATTTAAAGGAACATTCTTGGCATAATCCTAAAAAAACAAAAAAAAACAAAATAATGACACTGCTGAATTTTAATAACTGCACTGCTATTCTTTTACTATCATAAATTCTCATTTTTCCTTATATTGCTTTTGTAAGAGGGGAAACAATCTAAAGAAAACAATTTGATTCTTTCCACCTCAAAAAATACACATATACTGAGCTGCCACCAGGTGGCAGGATGGCTCAGCTAAAAAAAAAAAAGCACATATATAATATTAGAATGCTTGAGGAACTAAAATTCTAATATTATTTTAGATAAATGTGCTGTCTATTCTAAAAGCAAACTGTTTCATAGACAGCATTAATGTGTATCTCGCATCAAAGATATCTAATAACAGTAGTGTGGGTATAGTCATTTCCTCTGAGTGTTCTAAGAGTTTTCAAATGGAAAAGAGCTTTTCAAAAAGTTCCTCAGTTGTGGTTTCTTCTTTGCCTTAATCTCAGATATACTAGTTGACTTTTCCTCATGAGCACTTCCAGGAGGAACTCAGATACTAGTCTGTATTGGTGTATGCTAAGTAGCATATGGGGAAATTCGTGACTTCTTTCTGAAGTGGGCAGAAAACTCTAAGGGCACATTTATTTAGGACTCAGAGAAGGTTGTTACCATGATGGAGAGAAGCTACCACACAATACTAGCTTAGGGAAAAAATAAAGAATGAATGACAGATTCTAAAACATGCATATTAAAAGAAACTACTATATTCTGGGGTATAAACTTAAGCTTTTAAGACTGATACCAAGAAAAGTTATGCCCTCCTAAAATTTTTTCTTTATTGAAACAAAGAGGGTGTATTTACTTATTAGCTCAACCACAACAATATGCCGATCAGCTAATGCGAGATTTTACATCGTCTTTTCTGATACTCTGCATCTCACTCTGTATTAGTGACATACTCAAGTTAATGGAAAGAGATCTTCGCTTTACAAATTATTGGTTTACATTTGGCATTAGAACTGTTTTCACCTAAATGTCACCATAATGCTGAAAAAATAAAAATCTTAGACTCAAAAATTCTTTGCAACTTTGGGAAGCTCTGAAAAAGAGCACTAACAGGAACAATAACATTAAAATTTTTAATTGAATCTTAAATTAGTCTACATATTTTTAAATCTAAATTATTAGATACACTTTGAAGAAATCAATCATATCTTACCTAAAGTCAACTTACTTAATTTAACAAGTGCATTTCTCTTTTCACCATGTTCAATATAGCCAAAATTAACTTCCCAACTCTTTAAGCCTTCTTTTTCATCACAATATTTATTTCCACAGGAAAACTGGCCTGCAAAAAAGGAATATTAGCTATGATAGTTGGTGACAATATTTATGTATATAATCTGGTATTATCTCTGAAACTTACTCTTAACATACATAAATTCTTAGTTCTAAGAAGTCAGCATTAAAAAAACTAACCACAATAATTATAATATGCTCAACAAATGTTTATACAAGTATCAAATTAAAGAGCTGAATAAAGTGTTTTAAAAAAAATCAGTCACAGAATTCTGGCTTGATAGATTGACTATTTATATTTACATACAGTTTTAGTGACTCTTTTAGGGAATCTTACACTTTGGAAAACAGAAATACTAAAAGGGTGTACTCAATAATACTCTAAAAGAATAAATATATTTTCCAAGGTACATGCACTTACACCTGAGTGAATCCTTTTCAATATTTAATGATAATATTGAAATTTATTAAAATTAATATTTTTAGTATTAACATAGTGGTATTTAAGTACCAGCATAAAATGGCATTTAAAGCACATTTTAAAATGCTAGCATTCTGAGATGGAGTAGAAAAGTAATCAAACCCCATGCTCTAAATTTTAGAATTACTTGACTCTAAAATAAATAACCACATTACCATGTCCATTGTATATTAAAACCTTCTGCAAAAAAGAACTAATACTGACAATTCAAGAAGAAAAAAAAGAAAAAACTACTCAACAATTATTAACTTTGACAGAAGACAGGATCAAACTTTTATTTGTAAAAACAAACAAAACAGGACTGGCAGAGTGGCTCAGTTGTTAAGAGTTGGCTTGGGAGCGCAAGGTTTGAACAGCAGGGCCACCAGTTCGGTTCCCACATGGGCCAATGACGCTGCGCCCTCTACAGCTATTATGGTGAACAACAGCTTGACCTGGAGCTGGGTGACGTGAGTGGCTGGCAGCCAGTGTGAGCGGCCAGCAGCCAGCAGCCAGCAAGAGCTGCTGTGAGCAGCCATCCAATGGCCGGTGACCAACTGCCTCAGCCAGGAAGAGCACAATGATCAAATACCAACATGCCAGTGAAGCGACGTCCTCCACAACTAGACTGAAGAACTAAAGGACAGCAACTTCTCTGTTCCCCTTCCCCCGATTCCCCAATGCTGTTCCCCTCCCCCAATTCCCCAATAAAATCTTAAAAAAACAAAACAATTTGTATCTTGATAAATGTACCAACAGGCACAAATCTAACTTTTCATAAAAAAGAAATTATCAAAATGAATTTTGAAATTATCAGTACCAAAAGGCTAACTTTTCTAAATTGGCACTTTTCATTCATTCCAAATGAATACTTCATTAAATTTGTACATGTTGAGTAATGGCTTTATTAATAAAAAGGCAACAAAATTATAACTTTACAAATCACAGCAATAACTTTCTCTCCTCTTCCCAAGTAACCCTTTTTTTAGTTATATGAGTTGAGAGAATGTCCATCAATTTTTTTAAAGGCAGCATTACTTACTATCAACTGAAAATTCCATTCAATAAAAATACAGAATTTTTTAATTGTGAGACATTTCAATATATCTCATTGTTGTAGGTAAAAAAAAACCACCTAAAATGTAATCTTAAGAAAAGTTCCAAACAGCCTTGAATTTATTACTTTTTCCTTCTCCTCCAGAGTACTTTCAGGGCTCATCCTTTATTATCTCAAAAAAAAAAATTCCTACTTTTTAATATTGTTTTATTGCATATCCAATTTCACACTTGACATAAACATCTAATTTATGGAAGATGTATATGAACCACACTGATGTGATGGTATAAATGGTTTATCATTTTAAAATGTAACCTTTATTTTCAGTTAAAAAAATTTTAAGTTATTAGTTTAAAATTATTTCCTACATATTCCTCTGCAGTTTTCAGGAGCATTAATATTAATTTTTATTGCAATTAGAAATGCAATTATCAGTACAAAGCTATTTTACAGCATAAGACAATACAGAGATAAGTTTTCAGAAAAATTTTATGAATAGATTACAACAATCCATAGAAAAAGCATTTACTGATTGCCTACCCAAACGTTTGGTCTTTTGCTGTTAAGACTAAATATTTGGGCTCAATCTCAGTGGCTTCCCAAAATAAGAACTAGCCTGGCCATAAATTCTACCAGGGTCGAAGTGATATTTAATTTCTACTTTCAAAATGTGGATTAGACGGGAATGCAGTAATACATACTCATTATTCCAAAAATTGATAAGAGAGAAAACTTCAAGTATTCATCTGTTCAAATTTTCTCGTTATGAAATCGTTAAACAATCCTTAATCAATTGAATGTTCTAAAAGCAAAAATTCTCCCTTTTAGGGACTAAAAATAAAAATCATTAAAGCATTGTATTTTGACCTTTGCTAGTGACATATCATAAATATACCTTTTCTAATTTTACTTTTGTAGATCATCATTCACTGTATACTATAGGAATAATCTTACCCAGTATCTTCAATTCAATAATATAATAAAATAACCTTATCCTATTAAAAAGTAAAATTTTTAAAAAAAGAATTACCTTTTCCTGAAATTACTTCATTTTCTACTCGCCACCTAAATCCAAACTGATGAAAAACAAATTACATTTATGCCAGTGTAAATTTAAACATTATTTAAATTGTATAGAAATATAAACATGGAGCCAATAATTGATGCGTCATTAATCAACCTAATTCCCATTCATGACAGCTATTTCTCCCCTTATAGGACTCCAGGTACTTAAAAACACATTTTAACAATTACCATAAGGAACAATATTCTTTACTTTTTAAACTACCTATTCAAAGTTATAGGTGTCAAGACACCAAGATATCTAAATTAATAAAATATATCTTGTTCTAGGATACTGACAGAAAACAAAAAAAGGTATTATGGTACAGTAAAGAAAAGGTATGTTATAGTGCTACAGAGTATAGCCTTTGGAGTCAGGTTGTTTGGGTTTACTTCTTAGCTCTACCACTTAATAGCTGTATAATACTGAACAAGTTATTGATCTATTTGTGCCTCTGTTTTCTCATATGTAAATTAGAAGTAACAGGAGTACCTACTTCTTTGGGTTAAGAGGTTTAAATGGGATAATACTCATACTTACAAAGTATTTAGAATAGTACCTGGTATACACAGTACAGCAAGGGTTAGCAAAATATGGCCCACAGCCTGCTGCCTATTTTGTATATAAAGTTTTATTGGAACATACCCCACCCATTCATTCACGTATGGCTCTTTTCCCACTACAACAGCAGAGTAATAAACAGGAAAGAGCAATGGGACCAGTCTGGAGCCCTAAAGAGGAAAGTTCTTTAACTTCCCTCCAGATCCCAAAACACAACTTTGTTTTTTTGGCTAAAAATGATTTTTCTCCACTGCCTTTTAAGATTGTTCACATTAATATGCCAATTTACCATAATTCTAGTTAACGGTTTAGTTTTCTATTTAATTTACTTTTATAATGGTTAAAAGCTCAGCTCCAGAATCACACAGACCCAACGCAAGCTCTACCATTCATTAACTAGCTCTGTGACCTTGGGAAACTTAGTTAACTTCTCAGTCTGTTTCCTTTTTATGGATAAAAATCCGAATCTCACAGGTTGTTGTATTAAGAGAGATAATTCAGATGAAGTGTTCAATGCCTGGTTCCCTTTCTTATTTTTATTGTTTTTAAAAATCATCTATTACATGAATTAGGCAATTTTATATTTTAAATGCAAATGAGGGCTCAAAATATTTTGATTAAAACCCAATGAAAATAAAATTCCCCCATTCTAGGAAAAAAATAAATTCAAAATAACTTTAATTTTATTTTTAAGCCCATATATGTATGAAAATTGCTTGCCATCCAACATATGGTGGATGCCTATTGAAGCAGTCAAATGGGCACAGCAATGATTTCCAAACTTTTTCTTTCATTCATTAATCTGTTCAACAAATAATTATTAAGAAACTACTTATTGGGCTTGGCACTCTGCTGAGGATAAAAAATGATTAATATAGTGTCTGTCACCATGAAGGTCATAATCTTATAGGGAGGGGATAAGGAATGAATAAACAACTACAATATGTCCTACTCATTAAAGATTGCATAGAGATTTTGCCTCAATCTATTTTTATATTCTTTCCTGAAACTATAAATTTCCCTGCTGATGAACAGTGGAGTTACTCAGGGCTTGGTGCTGAGCCTCTTCTTCTCACTCTACCTTCTAGCACAAAAAGGGCACTTATGCAAGCAATAAAAGAGAAGGATCCTAACTACCTGACAACGCAAAATTCCAAGAGCATCTACTTGGACTTTTATGTAAAATAAAAATAAAAATGAACTTCTAGCTCATGCAAGCCAGTGTTATTTGGGAGCGTTTGCTGTTCCTGGAAGCTGAATCTGATCCTAAACAACGCAATGGTCCAACCAAATTCTCAGTGATATAAGGGAAGAAGCAACAAAAAAGGGAACGGGACAAAGGATGGAATTCACTAAAAATGCCCTAAGTATCTATCTACAATGTATAGATACTTATAGCTCTAAGCTAGGAGCCGGTTAATTAAAAATGAATAAAACACCATCTTTGTGTAAATAAAACTATGAGAAAATACATCCTAGCAAGGAAACCAAAGGTACTACTTACTCTTCATTTTCTCCAACACCTCAAACATGGTACTCCAAAAAAGTCATTATCTTTCCCCCCAAAAAAGATAGCTCTTGAATGTGTTGGGTAAGAGTTATATGGGAAATCCCCTCAGTTTGTCTGTGAACTTAAAACTGCTCTAAAAAAAAACAAAACAAAACATCCCCTTACCTCCTATTTCCTATTTCTCTAGTGTCAACACTCAAAACCTGTGAGTTATATCTGATTTCTTACTTGCACTTACCCTCGTATGTAACTATTCAACATGTTCTAATAGGAAAATAAAATTTTCTTCAAGATTATCCTCTTTAAAGTATGATTTCCAGTAATATACTGTATTTTTAAAATGGAGAATACAAATATTTAATTATTTACTTATGTACACGTCCCCTTAACTATAGTGTGGGTTTTTTTGAAGGGCAGACACCATGTTTTAATCCACAGCACCCAGACCATAAATACTGAAAAACAATCAACAAATGAGCCAGGGTTGAAAAAGCTGCTTTGTTATGCATTCCTAGAAAGACCGATATTTCACACTTGACTTGCAGTATAATAACTTCAAGTAACTCCAACCGCTGTGGTGCTTTTTGGATTTGATATGGTCAATAACTAGTACAGAGATGAGAACTAGTTCACAAGAAACTGAGGAAGTCTTTGGGATACACCAAGTGCATGGGTTTATAAATGGGGTTATAAAAATGGACACTACTATTATCTGTAAGAATATTGTGAAGCAACCCACATACTAAAGGCACTACTGAAAAAATTAAACCAATCGTGGTTCTGAGATTTAACTATTTAAATGAAAAAGCAATCCTTATGATAACTAAATCTAAGACAGCTCTTTAAATAGGTTGTACACTATCCAAAACATACATATTTATGCAATATTCCCTCCCCATTTCAAAATGAGATGATTTGTTCCTGCGTCACCTTCTGTAGCTACAAATGTGAACTTTGAGATAGGAATAAAAATCACTTCAATATTAACTAGAAGGTGTAAAGTGTAAATAGAAATCTGCCATTACTAATTAGCACTGAGAAGAGTCAATTTTACTAGAGTAGACATTTATACAACAGAAGATGAGCATCTGCCGCTTTATAAATGGTAATAAATTTGGTGGGAAAAGTCTATGAATTTCCAACATCTGTGAAATAAGACATTCTGCAGTGTCAAATCATTCATTATAATCAGTACAGGCTCTAGAATAGAATCAAGATGAAACAGGATCCAGTAATCACTTGTGCTTAATCTTAGACTTTTCAAGTCTCAAGCTCACAAAAAAGCACCCTTGACTAAGGGGTCCTTTATAAATTCCATAACTGCAGAGGTTAAATGGTCCAACTGATACTTCATAGATGCAAGATAATTTAGACTTGAATTAGAATCTTTTTTCATAAGGACTAGGAAGGCATACCTTATTTTCTTTGTATCTACTGAGATCTCCTATGCAGTATTCCTTGAATAATTTATCATAGTATTTCTTTGCAACTCTCTTCTCCCTAGAATCATAAAAAATATATAAATCTTCATTTAGAAATTCAACCATAGTTTCCTACTTGGAAGGTCTAATGAATAACGCATATGATATAAATATTAATGTTTTAAAAGAGGTCTATTACTTACATGTGCCTAGAATATCTGAATATTAACAATTAATAGTGATTCTCTCAGGGAAGGAATCTAGAAGACTAACAGAGGTGAGAAAGAGAGTTACTCTTCACTTTTCACCCTTTGTAATGTTTGGATTTTTAAAACCATTTTCAGGTATTACTTTTACCCAAGATATTGTACAGATTTAAAAAGAAGCATATTACAGGACAACAAATAATGTTTTTAAAATTTTATAATTATTAAAGACAAAGTCAAGCAATGAGAAGTCAATTCAAACTGCTAAAAATTACCAAAAGAACCAAATTAGATTCAGTGTTCTGAGGCATGGTTTTATGCCCTCAATTCAGAACTGTTCTATGCAGGGTTGGGCATGTGACAAAGTAAGAAAACACTCAGACAGCAGGAGAGACAGGACTAACGCATTTGACACATTATGCCTCAGATGGCTAAAATTACCAATTCATGTCCATTTCATCCTCCTCATTCCATAGGAATCTATGATTTTCTCGTATAACATCCATGTCTGTCTTGTCCTTTTCCCTAGAAAATAAAACTATTTCAATTTAATATAAATACAAAACTATTCAAATTTAGGAGGTTAAATATGTCTGTGAAATTTTGGAACACCTGAGTAAAAATATAATACACAAAGATAAAGACAGTTTTATTGTATGGGCATGTACGAGGTCAGACAATTAAGTTCACGAACTCATCCTAGAAAAAGTGCTACTACATACCTCATTGCTGAATATCATTATGGTCACCTTCGAAGTACTCCCCTTGGGAAGCTATGCACCGACGCTAGCGCCTAGTCCACCCTTCAAAGCAATTTTGGAACTGTTTTACTGGAATGGCCATCAGAGCTGTTGTCGTAATACCCTTGATGTCCTGAATGTCATCAAAATGTCTTCCTTTCAGTATTTCCTTTATCTTTGGGTAAAGAAAGAAGTCATTGGGGCCCAGATTAGGTGAACAGGGAGGGTGTCCCAATACAGTTATTTGTTTACTGGCTAAAAACTCTCTCACAGACAGTGCTGTGTGCTGGCGCATTGTCGTGATGCAAGATCCATGAACTGTTGGCGAAAAGTTCAGGTCGTTTTTGTCTAACTTTTTCACGCAGCCTTTTCAGTGCTTCTAAATAGTAAAGCTGGTTAACTGTCCAGTTGGTACAAATTCAAAATGAATAATCCCTCTGATATCAAAAAAGGTTAGCAACATTGTTGCAACAAGTTCGTGAAATTAACTGTCAGACCTCGTATACGGGTACACATAAGTACATATATTTATAAAAACTATTTCAGTATTTTCAAAAGGCACTATAAAGAGTGCTACTACAGAAGCAACTTAAATGGATAAGAAATCCATCCATCTCTGGCACTGGTTTCAATTATACAAATGGTGCTAAATAAACAAAGCCAGGATGAGAAATCTGAGTAAACACTAAACGGATAAAAAAAAAATGAATGAAAGTAAGTTCAAAAATCTAAAAAAAGTGAGTAACATCATCCTACTGAAATCTAATTTTAAAAAATATATGAAGAGTTTTCCATACCTCATTTTACTACAGCTTCCTAGGAAGACTGAGTAAGGGGGTTAGAAAGTTGAAGGGAATGATTTTTCTAGGTGCTAACAGTTTGGCGATAGAACAAGGGATTGTTAGGGAATATAGGCCAAATTGAGAGGGGAGATACGTTTGGGATAGATGAGATGGTATAAAGTTTTTAGGGCTCTACCAAATAAGGAAATGGTTAAGTCACAGGGAAAACCAAGAGGTTCTAATAGAAGACCCCCAAATATAGGAAGTAATTTCATGTGTGGGAAATATTAAAGTGAGGTTTCTTATTTGCCCTACCTTTACAAAAGCAATCCTAAACACTGAGGTCTAAAAAGTTCATTATTTCAAAGATCCTCCCAAACAAAACAAAACAAAGCCTGCATCACCAGGCACATGTGTATTCCTCACATGTCCTGTTATGCTGGGACAAAACTGGCTCAGCAGGCCACCACCTGAGGCTTGTTGCCAGAGAAATGGGGTTCATGAAAAGCTACTTAGCTAGAAGCTATGGGTGGCCTCTCCACCTCATTACATAACAAGGAAACTGAAATGGAAAGCAGAGGGAAATGACAACCAGAAGACACGGTAGCTGTGGGTCTTCAAAGACATCCAGAGCCCTCTCCAATTCTACATGAACTTCGTGACACTTACCCCAATCGCCTGAAATCTTCTCTTTTGCCACCATAGTACAAAATATAGTCATTTACAAACTTTGTATGCCTTTGATACTGAAATGCAAAAAGTTAAGGGTTATATCTGTTCAAGAACTGTACTGTGTCCATGATATATTAGTGATCAGGAATAAAAAGCATAGTATGAGTCTAGTTTTTTTTAAATATGCAAATATATACTATACTTGCTTATAAATTCAAGATAGAAAAGGGTAAATATTAAACTGTTAAGAGTGAACACTATGTAGTATGAATACTGTTTACGTTGTTTTGAACACTTTTCAAGCATATACTACTTGTGATAAAATATATCTATCTGGAAGGAACGAGTTTCCTTTTCTATTGCTGAATGACATACGGCCTCACACCACCACTCATTTTAATCATTATTATATTTAAAAAATAAATTATAGTTTCTAAAATTAAAGGTAAGAAATATAATTTACCTTTCACTATTATGTAATTTAGCTATTCCAGTAATGATAAAGCCTTTAAAATAGAAGATGCAACTTTTATAACATTCAATCCTAATATTAGGCTTTCAAAAAGAATATGAGAAATCAGATGTTATTTTTTATATTTAATATCTTTTAACCCCTCTGTTGGGCGCAACTGATCTCAGATTCATTACACACCAAGATGCCACAATGAAATATGTCTTTACTGTACTAAGTCACAAACACGACTGGCAATAGGTTATGGTAGAAGGGGAAGATACAGAAGGAGTGAGTCACAATACTTAAGTAAACTGTTAGATATTTGAGAATTCGTGTGCAATGTATCTGTGCCCGACAGAGGGTTATTATTTAAAGAATCCACAGTCATGGCTATTTTCAGTGCAGTATAACAAGATAGGTGAGCTTAAAACTTTTTGTTTTAAAAGCTTAATTGTACTCTCTTCAAAGCTGAACATGCACATAAAAGAACTGACCTTATCGATAGTACTGCCTGTGACTACATCTTATTAAAGATAGTGATTTAATTGATCACAATGTGTTCTAATAGAGTACTGAATCAAAATATGATACATCCGGGACGGCTGAGTGGCGCATTGGTTAAGAGCTGGCTTGGGACGCCAGAGGGCCCCAGTTCTGAACCCACATATGAGGGCCAGTGACACTGCCCTCTACAGTTAAGATGCTGAACAACAGCTCAACCTGGAGCTGGGCTGCTGTGAGTCGCCAGCGACAGCATAGGCTGCAGCCCCTGCTGCAGTGGGTTGCCATGGACTACCATGTGTAGCCAGCAGCCAGCGTGAGCGGCCAGCAGCCGCCGTGTGCGGCCGTCCAGAAGCCGGCGACTGATCTACCTCGCCTGGGAAGAGTGCAATGATGGTGCCAACTTGGGACAGCAAAGCAACATCCTCCACAACTAGACTGAAGAAAAAAACCACAGCAACTTGTCTGTTCCCCTTCCCCCGATTCCCCAGTGCTGTTCCCCTTCCCCAATTCCCCAATAAAAAAATCTTTAAAAAAAAATAAATAAATGATACATCCAAAACTAGCAACAAAACAGTTAATGTTTCAGGAAAAAAAAATGAACAGCCAGGTATCTGGAAATCCGAGTTCTAGATCTTGATAGATCACTAACTGGTCACGAGACCATAGTAAGTCACTTAAATCTTTTAGAGCTGGGGTCGGTACACTTCTTCTATAAATGGTAAATACACAGGCCATATAGACTGTCCCAACTGCTCAGCTCTGCCATTTTAGCATGAAGTAGGCACAGATATAACATTTTAAAACTTTATTTACAATAACAGGTAGTGGATGGGACTTTGCTTCCAGGAAGAGGGGAGTAGACAAAGATGTACTTCTCCCTATTCCTTCCACTAAGAACTGCTAAAAACCTTGGAAATTATATATAAGATAAACATAGGAAGACTCTGAAAGGTGGACAGAAGAAGGCATACCAGCTAGATACCCTTAGGACCCATGGTATAACATGGTGGTGAATTCCCCAGCTTTTCTTTTTGCCTTATAAATCCCAGACCTGGAGGTGAATAAGCTGGCAACCTACAAGTACAGACCAAAATATCCCAACAAAAACCTGCTCTAATTGAATAACCAAAAGAGAGGTAGTCTAACAAGACAGATAACTTTTAGATAATAACTTCTCTACTCCAGCCAAACATTCCCAAAAAAGTGTGGTCCTACCTCCTCCCATGCCAGAAAAGGGGACCTGAACTTTCATGCTCACCAGGCTTCAACTAGATGTCCCAACTCCCCCAAATGAGTGGCATCATATTATAGAAGGCAAAGCACACAATGAAACGCTAAAGCAGTGAGTGGTAGATGAGACCTGTGAGAAAGCTAAGTACTTGGGTTACGAGGTAAGAAGAATAAATACATCGTTGACAAGAGAACGTCTATAACTTAAAGAGAAGCATTAAGAATGATAATAAAGTGAAACAGGTGACTACAGGTGGTGGAGAGTCAGGGGAGAGGTATATATAATTGACATTGTCTCCTTCTCCCAATCTTGACCATCATTATGATAAATACCCAGAAATACTTCAGGTCTTTCTTGGTGTCTCTTTCACTCTCCGATATTCCCAACAGTAATGTGGAAGCCCAGTGGTGGCAGTCAGTGTAATGAGCCACAGTCTTGTCAAAAAGTTGAGCTGAGACATGGCTATAACAGGGAAGCGAGTGATAGCTTAAAGACAGCCCTAAGTCATGCCTGACAGTTAAAACAACAGCAGGCCTGAGGACAGTCCACAGACAGACCTACTTTTAAATACAAGTTTTACAAAGACCTTAAATAGAGGTAGGAAGAGAAGAAGAGTTAAAATAAGAGTAGTATAAAAATGAGAAATGTTGAGAGCTTGGCAAAAACAGGTTGGAAAAAAATATTTGCAAGTTCACGGACTCTGTAAACCTATTTATAGAACATTAGTAATATGTTTTTTCTTTTTCTTTTTTTTTTTAGCTGAGCCATCCTGCCACCTGTTGGCAGCTCAGCGGCAGGTCTTCTCGGGCTAGGCATCGAACCACTGTTGCTCAGAGCTCAAACTCTTGAGCAAGCTCTTAACCAACTGAGCCACTCAGCCGGCCTCAGTAATATGTTTTTTAATTTTTTGTCTCTAAACCTTTCTTAAGTATTAGTAAAAGAGAAATATATTCAGAAGTATAAATGGCAAAATTCTACATCAATATTTATCTTTAAAACATAAGTCGGACTTCACAAGATTTCATAAAATAAAAAAGTAGATTTTAAAATAGTCTATTATTGGGTTCTTGGAAAAGTCATGATGTATTTTTTCTCTGTTTTCCATTGCAAAAATGTGTCATGACTTTTCTGACAACCCAATACTTATAAAAACCTAGAACCATAAAAAGGATACAGCATCCATAGCTATGAGATGAAACCTTCTATTTCTTGCTTCTTCCCTATTAAGACAAATTTTATTTTAAGCAAATTCAAATGTCTATATCCTGATTAACATAATCAAATCATCCAAGTCCCTGAGTTTACAAAAACATCTCAAACCAAAAAAGTAATTTATACTGAAGTACCATACCTATCCAGCAATTCTGCTGCAATTTGTTTATGGGCCACCTTTCCATGTTTTTCTTTCTGAAATGGCTTTTTGAGCAGTAAATCGTCTTCAACTGTCCTGGTTTGTTAAAAAGAAAAATTAAGAGTTCATTTTTCTCAAAGAGTATTTCCTGTCTCTTTGTATTTTCACAATTGGAACATGTTTTAAAGAATTCAAGTCTATGCCCCCTTAAATAGCTTAATTAATATCTTAACTTTTTTAATACCCATAAACAGGAGACAATGAAACTAACAAATCTATGGGTTCTGGTGTCTGATCACCTAGGTTCCTGGGTTCAAATTCTGGCTCTGCTTTCACTATCTGAATCTTAAATTCTTTGTGCCACAATTTCCCTGTTTGTAAAATAGAGATAACGAAGCTTTTGGTAACTGATACAATGGAAAAAGAAGGGCTGATTATAGGTGATATAGATGATAGATGATCAGCCCTAGTTATGTAGACAGATATAACCCTAGAGCAGAGAAGACTATCCAACTAGATTTGCTTAAATTCTATTCTTACAAAGTATTATTTTTGAATGAAAAATCCTGAAAATGTAAAGCATCATAAAAAGCAATTTATTATAATTATTTTTATTCTTTTGGTTATCCATGAAGTATGAATACTCAACGAAAATGTTCAGCCCCAATATGAATCATCAACCACTCCTAAGTTAATGGATAAAAGTCAAGCTTCTAAGCACTGAAAACTGACAACACCCCCACTCCTGAAAACAGGAACTCCACCAAGATGTAGCCTCCATATAAGGCCCAGGCTTTATCTGCTGACAGATCTTGTCCCTTCCAATTCAATCAAAACTTCCATCAACTCCTTGACCATTTAGTTGGCTCATTCACAAAACCATAAGAACTGTGCTGCACACAATCTCATTCTCCACACGCACCTTATTTTGAAGTCAAGTGCTAAGTAGGCAAAGGGAACACCAGCCAAGCCCCATCTTAGCTATAACATTTACAAGTAAAAAGTCCCTGACAGTTGGATGAAAATAGATGCAGCAGAGAAATCTAAGACCTTTAATTGAGTTCCTCCTCCTTCTCCTTCCATAAATTCCTTCACAGCATAAACATTTTCTTATTTTTCACACAACTGTTCTCACATTTTTAATCAATTCATTATAGTTTAATGAACAAAAATTCATTCAGTAGAACATCGTTGTCTTCACATACAAAGGCAATACAAAAACTCTCAATATTATTTATTTATGCCTCATCTCAATATAAAAAGGGTATGAAACACAGAACAACAAAAGTTACCTTTTTTTCCTTTTGTTAGATTCTCCGCAGTGTTCATCATCACTAAAATCAGAGTCATAGCCTCCATGACCATGCATCTGTAAAAGAAGAATAAAGTCAGTTACTTAGAACCTAAGTTGCCCACAGTTCAGGAAAAAGAGTTCAAAAATTAGTTACTTTTAAAAGCCACATAGTTTTTTTGTTTGTTTTTGTTTTAAAGATTTTTATTGGGGAATTGGGGGAAGGGGAACAGACAAGTTGCTGTTGTTTTGTTCTTCAGTCTAGTCGTGGAGGACGTTGCTTCACTGGCCCAATTTGGCACCATCATTGCGCTCTTCCCGGGCGAGGCAGATCAGTCGCCGGCTTCCGGACGGCCGCTCACTGCGGCTGCTGGCCGCTCACGCTGGCTGCTGGCTGCATACAGTACCCCATGGCAACTCACTGCAGCAGGAGCTGCAGCCTACGCTGTCGGAGGCGACTCACGGCAGCCCAGCTCCAGGTTGAGCTGTTGTTCAGCATCTTAGCTGTGGAGGGCAGTGTCACTGGCCCTCATATGTGGGATCCAAACCGGGGCCCTCTGGCATCCCAAGCCAGTTCTTAACCATCGCGCCACTCGGCCGGCCCAAAAGCCACATAGTTTTAAAGGATTGTGGTGAGGATATCACTGTTCCTGGGCTATCCAGACATCTAAAACTTTCATTCACTTTAAAAAACTTACCCTTCAAAAAATAAATTAACATATTTCACCATTAGGCCAACAAAAGAGGCTATTCTTTGACCTTTCTATTGAAAACCAGGTCTAGAAGCTGACTCTATGCAAGGTTCAGCAATGCTTCACTTTTATTTAACTCATAGTAACAGATGCTGTGCATTTATCATCAATTTCATTCCAGACATTATACAAGGTACTTTACAAACACTGCTTCTAATTCTGCAAGTTAGGAACTATTATCTCCATTTTAGAGGTGAAGAAATCTGGGACAAATGAAGTTAAGTAAATCAATTACACAGAGCAAATAAGTGGCTAAGCTGATCTCCTTGATTCTTTTTTTTAAAGATTTTATTGGGGAATTGGGGGGAGGGGAACAGCGTTGGGGAATCGGGGAAGGGGAACAGACAGGTAGACAAATTGCTGTTTTTTGTTCTTCACTCTAGTTGTAGAGGACATCACTTCACTGGCCCATGTTGGTATTATCTTTGTGCTCTTCCCGGGTGAGGCAATAGGTCGCCAGTCATTGGTCGGCCACTCACAGCAGCTCTCACACTGGCTGCCAGCCACTCATGTAGCTCACGGCAGCCCAGCTCCAGGTTGAGCTGTTGTTCATCATCTTAGCTGTAGAGGGCAGTGTCACTGGTCCTTAATGTGGGATCCAAACCGCAGCCCTGCTGCACAGAGCTGGTGCTCCTAAGTGAGCGCTTAACCAACTGAGCCACTCGGCCGGCCCTCCTTGATTCATAAGCCCATGATTTCAACTACTCCAAATTGCCTCTCTGGAAAATGTAAACATTTTGATTATTATATTCCATTAGACTTACTGTATTTGTGAACAGTGCATTATCCACTGATGATAATTTACCTCTTTTTTTCAACGTATTTGGAGATTTCCTTTTTCTTTTAAACCTAATTTTTTGGGTTTTTTGCTTTTTTTTGTTTAAGGTAAACCAGCTTGTCCTTCGGCCTAATCAACCTTCTCTTGTTTCAATTCATTTTTTAATTGAAATTTAAGAAATACTGAAAGATCTCAATTGTCACTAAGTTGTGTTGGAAGAAGCTTCTAGTTTCAGCGTTATATTGAATTTGGGAAACATATTCATAGAGGATGAATGGACTATTTGACGTCATAAATACTCAATTCATATGGTTACAGGGAACCAGTCCAAGTCAAACGATATATTAAATTTTTTAAACTTTAACATTCACTATAGCAAGTACAGCAGGAAAAAGAGGAAAGACCTCTCTAAATTTCATTGCAATGGACCTAAGACAAAAGATATGTTTCTAGTCCTGGCTACCTTGAATAAATTACTTCATCTATTTGGGCTTCATCTATTAAATAAGGTGGTTACATCAAATAATCCTTAAATCCTAGGAGTCTATTATCTTTCTATAATTCCAGTTTCAAACTTAGGTGAAGACTGGACGGCCGCTTCCAACTCTACCCTCACTTACATCTATCTTCACCTTAGACACACCTGGATCTTACACTCTTGATCACGTCAACTCCTTGTTCCAGCTGTCTATCACATCTGTTCAAGCCAAATCGGCCTCTCACTCCTTGTCTATGTCCTCACTTTCTTCACATCTGTAAACTATTATCATCACCATATTGTTCCCACACCCCGCGACACCACCTGCTTGCTACCCTTGTTCCCCCCCTCCCATTTCTTTTTCTCGGGCGGTTACATCCACCCCATACCCACCTCAACTCAGTGAGTGGCTTTACCAAAAAGCTCTCACTCACTTCAGGCTACGAATAAAATGACAAGGGCCGAGAGAAATTCGAGAAAGGAGGCTGTCTCCAGAATCTATTTAAAAAAACAACAACAAAAAAAAGATAACCAGCATATGAGGACCAAGTTTCGAGGTCCTTCTCCCCGACCCCAAATACACTCAACAGCCCTTCTCACACACCCCTTTACCTCCTCCCAGCTCTGCCAAGTTCGCCCGCTGCGTAGTCGCTTCCTCCTTTCTCAGCGGCTGCAGCGACGACTCACGGCCTGAGCGAGCCGCTGCAGGGCCACTCGCGTCCGCCACCGCCGTGCAGCTTCGACACAGCCGCCGCCACTGTCGCCCGATCCCCGCCTCTCCCTACGGGTCCCGACTGGGCCGCGCTTCCCTTCCGGCGCTGCCTCGTGTCACACCTAAATGGCACCGTCTCGAGGAGCGCCGATTTTGTGCCACAGGCAGAACATTCCCGGGAAACAAAGGCGGGGGGATAACTGGGCCGAAGGGAAGGCAGAGGCTGCCTGCTTTCTCGAAGTCACGGCTCTCACTTTTTTCCTGTGCCTTTCCCTTAACCCTCTTCGGAGCCCCTCATCTAATATTGTGTGGTACTGCTCGCCCTAAGCCCCTCATTTGAAAATATGTTTCGTTTTAGAAAAAAACCTCCGCCTGAATATCACCTGCCGTCCTCTTTCTAGTAACCTTAGTAACGCCTCCTCGGAGCATCCTCGCTGAGCGTCTCAGTCTCCGATCTGCCTCTCTTCTCTGCAGCCCCTTTCCTCCCCATAAAACAGTTCTCATAATTAGAACAAAAATAACTTTCCTTCGTTTCACCACCCACATAAAAGATACCATTCCAAACACAGTGCTGGTGGCAGAGGAGCTCATCGAAAATGTGAGAAAAGAATAAGCGAGATTTCACAGGGTTGCGGATTTGACACATGTGAAGACGAACCCAAAACAGTTCCTTAAAAAAAAAAAAATAGGAAAGAAGAAACGCAGTCAAGAAAAGTTAAATTATTTTAAGCTCCACCAGGTTCTTGCGGTGCTCTACCTTTTCTACATTATGATGCCCTATTCTGCTTTGCAGCCTAGTGTGTTCACCGTCTGGTCTTCCTCTAGCTGATGCTATTCATCTTTGCTTCCTCCTCTGTATCCAACACGGTTCCTTGGAAATCACAAGTGCTAATTAAATATTTGCTGTGTTGCACGGGCACGCCACTGACTTTTCAACAGGACCTTAACACAATACACACTCATCATTTCACATCTTTTGCACTACATGGTAGATAACAATATCCTGATCGGTTCAAGGCCCCCTTCTATCCCTGACAGTAAATTATAGATTCATTTTGCTTTTCCCAATGAGTGAATGTGATCTTAAAAATTAGTAAGTAAAATGATTGTAAATTCAATTACTTCAAATGCAATCGGATTATGCTTCAATAAAAATGTTTATCAAAAACTTTAAAGCGATAGGAAAAATCTCAATTTAACTTTATACTATGTTGAATTATTTTGTCAAGTAGTTTCTTTTGTAGGAAATATCTAAAATATATATTTGTTTTATTATCAATAAAATCAAACACACCTGTACTGTGTATTCAATTTACTTTACCAATATTTGACATTTGATAGTATTTTCTATCATTTTTAGTATATGTCTGTTTGTTGCTTCATTCAACTCTTACTACAAACCTGTGCTGTGTTATTAGCCCCTTTCTGTATATGAGAAGCAGAAGCACAGAACTGAAAGCCACAGACCTGGTGAGGGTCTAAAACTGGGAGTACTTGTTTCTCTGCAAGACCCAGTTTTCTCTGTCTCTCTCTGTGTTAATTTTGGTCTCTCTCTTTCTTTGTAACTCATCAATTGTGTGGGAAGTGGCTCCTGGTTCTAACATTTTAAGAATTTCAGATCTGTTGCTTCCAAACCATTCAGTTACAGATTTACATTTTTCCCTTTGAGGCAGCAGTTATTGAAAGAGAAAAATAGAAAATATATGTTAAGAATAGATCACATGATCTGAACTAAAAACAATTAATACAGGATAGAAAATCTACCTGATTGGGAAATCTCAAGTTAATAATTATAGCTCGACAAGTATAAAAAACACAAATATTTATTAAGTGCCTCCTCTGGGCAGAGCAGTATCCTAGTCATCAGGGTTACAAATATGCAAAAGCCATTCCTTATTCTTCAAAGTTGACTAGTAAGAAAGAAAGGGTATATAGAATAACAATATAGTCTATCATATTCCAAGTGCCTAGTAAATGGCATGAACCTATAGCTCCCAATCTGTAAAATGTGTTATTTAATGAGTGTGAAAATTTAAATGTGCACAAATGCTGTATAATTCAAATAAAGCAACAAAATACTATGATAGATATGTGTGAGGGAAGTTGGTCCCCACTCCTCTCCATTACCCACCACACACACACACACATATATCTTTATTGCCCACCTCTGCGCAACCCCCTCTCCCCGCAAAAAAACAAACAAAAAACAGCTGCTCTGGGAAACAGTTTAGTAAAGAGTCACACTTCAAAGTCAGCCAGACCTGTGTTCAAGTCAGATTTCTGCTACTTACTAGCTAGGAGATCATGGATAAGTTATTTAATTCTCTGAGTCATAATTTCCTCATCCATAAAATGGAGAGAATAGCAGTACCTATCTCATTGGGGATTGATGAGGTTTAAAATGAAACAATGCAGTTAAAATGCTTAGCATGATGCCTAGTTCATAATAAGTATGTAATAAATGCTACTTGAGGAAAGACTCAGGTTATAGGCATCTTTTCTTGAAAATAAGTTTAATAATTAACTGCTTCTTGAACATGGTTTAGAAATAGATCCACACATATATAATCCCAAGAGTAATGGCATAGGTTTAAGTACGGGCTTTTTTTTTTTAATTGGGGAATAGTGTGTTTTTCTCAGGACCCATCAGCTCCAAGTCAAGTTGTTGTCCTTCACTCTTAGTTGTGAAGAGTGCAGCTCAGCTCCAAGTCCAGCTGCCATTTTCAATCTAGTTGCGTGGGGGTGCAGCCCACCATCCCAAGTGGGAGTCAAACTGGCAACCTTGTTGTGAAGAGCATGCGCTCTAACCAACTGAGCCATCTGGCCGCCCGTCAGCAGCTCACAGCCGCTCAGCTCAAGTCATTGTCTTCAATCTATAATAGTTGTGGAGGGCGCAGCTCACTGGTCCATGTGGAAATCGAACAGGCAACCCTGTTGCTCAGAGCTCATGCTCCAACCAACTGAGTCGCCCAGCTGTCCCAAAGTAAATAAATAGTTCTGGGTCAATTAAATAGTATGATAAAAAATAAAATAAAAAATCTTGATTCCTACCTCACACCATACACAAAAGCCAGTTTCAAAGAAACCAAAGGAAAACAGCTTCATGATATTTCTTGATATCTTTCTTAGGGCAGGAAAAATTTTCTTAGGACATACAAAGAGCTAACTATAAAAGAAAAAAATTAATTAATGACTTCTGTTCATTTAAAACATTTAATTAAAAATTGAAAAGCCAAGTCACAGAGAAGGAGAAAATATTGCAGTATGCATACATTCAACAGGTTATCAGATTATATAAAAAACTTCAAAAATCATTAACTAAAAGGCAGAAACCCAATAGAAAAATTAGCCAAAGACTTGAATGGACAATTCACACACACAAAAAAGATATCCAAATAGCAAATGCACATCAAACAATGTGCTCTTTACTAGTTATCAGAGAAATGAAAATTAAGAAAACAATGCACACCATTACACACCCATCAGAATGGCTAAATGAAAAAGATCTAGTGCTGATGAAAATATGGCATGATTATAACTCTTACATACTGCTGATGCGAGTGTAAATTGGTACAACCACCTTGGAAAAGGTGTTTGGTAGTACCTACTCATGCTGAACGTGTATATTCTATTTCTCATATATTCTCTTCTCAGTGTATTTTCAAGAGAAAAGTGTACATATGTTTATCAAAAGACCTGTACTACAAATCACTAGTTGTAAATAACAGCAATATTTATAAGTCAAAAACTGGAAGCAACTCAAATATCCATTAGCATTAGAATAATTAAATAAATTGTGGTTTATTCACACAATGGAATACTATACAGTAATAAAATGAACAAACTACAAATATACACAGCAGCATGGATGAATCTCATAAATATGCTGAGTCAAAGAAGGATTGTATTTGCAAAAAGACATTTACATAAAGAACAAAAGCAAAAGTAATCATTTTGTTATAAGTCAGGATAGTGGTTTCCCCAGTGGGTGTAGGGAGGTGACTGGAAATGGGCGCAAGGCACGAGTGGGGGGGTGCTTCTAGGAAATGGGAATGTTTTGTTTCTTAATCCTGGCATTTCATTACATGAGTGGTTCATTTATACCTATGGTTTGTGTGTTTTTATGTGTATGTATGTTATCCTTCAATAGAAAGTTTACATGTAAAATTTTAACTCTTCCTAGAGGTTTTAAAACTTTTTACTCCAATTGGTAAATGGAAGTGTTGGCGATTAAAGCAATTTCAGGCATAAGAATAAGTCGGGGAATGAATAGGCAGGATTTCCTGGGGCCTCTGAAATTATGCCTCACAAATGCTTACGTAGGCAAAAACAAAGTTCCTATAGACGCTGAGATGGAAGCAGATGGGGGGGGGGGCCTCTGTAAGTGTCGAGTAGGACTCTAGTCAGCACTCAAAGGACTGAATGCACCCAGGCCTTGTACACTTGGCAAGGTCAACTTGAACTTCCACACATTTATACACCAGGATCTGGCAGGAGGCAGCTTCACCGTAGTAAAGCTCAGTCCATGAATAGAGATGCAGTCTAACAGCTATCATTTACAAGCCGGTCAAAGGTCAGTCACTTGCTTGTTTAAGAGCCTGGAGGAGGCTGCCAGAGCATGAATGCTGTGGTTGGATGGACACTTGGAAGCAAAGTGGAAAGACAGCAATATAGTAATTAGCCAAATGAATTGTCATTTTTAGGCCTGCTCCCAGGAGGCGAGAACAGAGACAGGATGTCTAGAAAACCCCTCTCAGAGGCAGTGGTGGGGAAGGAGCCTTGTGATTAAGAGATAGGGAGACACTTACCCGGTCAGATGAGATGAGAAGCAGAGACCAGGAACACTAAATATCACCGGAAAACGGATGCACTTATTTTTTGTCATATAATACCTGTGGGTATAAAGATTTCATGCCTCACTCAGGAATGTGCAAAGTAGAGAGGCTCACGAGAATAATGAAGGTTGAGAGGTGCTATGACTCTGGATCCTTTCTCAAGGGCTAGCTGGGCCTGGGCCTATAATCACAGAAAAGATATAATACCTCCCCTTCCCCCTCATCAAGGTTCAAGATCTAGGTGGGACAC